TTTTTTTACACAGAAATAACAAAATGTGAAGCCACAGAAAGTATATATCCATCCATTTCCAAAAGTGCTTTTTTCAGTTATCCATACAAGTAATTTGAGTGAGTGGCATTTGTAGTGTGATATCTGCACTTTTAATATTCTATGAATGGATGTGCAGTATTAGGAAATTCATTTCACAAGATTGGAGAGTGTAAAAAGTGGTTCTTTCTTTACAGGATATATGCATATCTGCTATGAAGGAAAAGGATATAGAAGCCAAACTGTCTCAAGTAGCTGAAACCTGGGGAGCTCAAAGTCTGAGCTTTGCACAATTCAAAGCAAGAGGAGAGTTACTGTTAAAGGGAATTGAATCAGCAGAAATTATGATATTGATGGAGGACAGTTTAATGGTTCTGGATTCTCTACTGTCTAATAGGTACTTGGCATTGTTCATGTATGGCGTTTTCAGAAATACACTGTGATAGTAACAGTACTATTATTGAGCTGAATCAGCAGTAAATTTGAATTAAATGTTCTTTAATGAAACAAAGTATTACACGGCCGAATTAAAAGCATCTGTATGAGAAAGACTTCCATGCATATTCAATTGAGACAACTTTCATCTCAATATACTTGAATGTAACCTACCTGCTAAAATCTTCCCATAATGTTGTTCTTGTTCTAAGTGAAACAAGAGTTAGTTTGTTCTGGGTTTTGGAGGATTTTTCACCGTAGCCAAATAAAGCTATTATCTTATAATAGCTTTATTTAGAATTAAATAGTTTACTCTCCTCTCTACTTTTAGATACAATACGGCATTTAAAAAGCAAATTCAGAGTTGGGTTTCTAAACTAAGCAACTCTTCACGCATAATTGAGGAATGGCTGGTTGTGCAGAACCTCTGGATTTATCTTGAAGCTGTTTTTGTAGCAGGAGATATTGCAAAAGAGTTACCCCAGGTAAACTTTACAATGCTTGCCTAATACTTTATACGGAAAGCTTTCTGTGCAATAATTTTCAAGAGAGTATGCTTTGCTTTTTCTATATATAGGAAGCAAAGCGTTTTCAGAATATTGACAAATCTTGGGTAAAAATAATGCAACGAGCTCATGAAAATGCAAATGTAATTGCCTGCTGTGTTGGAGATGATACTATGGAGCAACTTCTCCCTTACCTACACGAACAGCTGGAAGTATGCCAGAAATCACTTACAGGGTATGAATTGTTTGGTTTTTACTGCTTTACTATATTGTAAATAGTTTGTATGAATCATTAATTGTATTTCAGAGTTACTTAAACCCCTATATAGAAAAAATTACAAGCTGAAATAGTTTAACAAAAATCTTGTTCAATTTTAAAGATATTTAGAGAAGAAAAGACTGCTGTTTCCAAGATTCTTTTTTATTTCTGATCCTGCACTTGTTGAAATTCTTGGACAAGCAAGTGATTCTCATACAATCCAGGTATGAACTTAATGATTTTTTTCTACTTATATAAAAAAATTAGAATATGGAGGAGCATTTAATAAAATGAGATGCAAACATTTTATTTTTATAAAGTCTGCTGGAAAAAGAATTTTGTTTCTTGCTCTCCATTCTTTAACAAAGTATGAAATGGATACCTGTGATTCAAAACCATCTTCAGAATTCAGAGCACTAGAACATGTTTGATCAAGCGATTTGCTAGTGGTTTCTTTCCCAACTAAACTAATAAAAGGACCCTGTGAGGCTTTCCTGCTTTGCATATTGCAAAATTCTTCCAGCTAGTCTGGATTGTTACTGAGGGTTGATTGAGATAACCCAGTTGATCTCTGCTAGATCATCTCTGGAAACTGTAAAAATACAGTAGACAGAGATAAAATTCTGCACAACCATTTCTGTAATTGTTACCTAGAGATGGCCAAAAATTCATCTGTAGATTCAGATGAATTTTGCAGGATTACCTAATTTGAGACTTTTTTTTTTCTGTTTGCTATTCTGTTTGCTGAATATTTACATTGAATAACTCCTGAATTATCCTTACAGCCACATCTGACTTCCATATCAGACAACATAAATGAAGTAGAGTTTCACCCAAAGGATTATGATCGCATAATGGCAGTCATATCAAGAGAAGGAGAAAAAATTGCAGTAATTATCTGATTTTTTTTCTAGAAATATTAATCGATAAATAATTTTATTATTAAAATATAAGATGCATTAAGGTGAATTATTGTTAATTACAAATAAATATTTCAAAAATGTTTGTTAACAAGACTAGAATTTGTCTTCATTAAATAAATTGTTTGGATATTAATTGAAATAAAATCTGTAGCTGTCATGAATAGAAATTTAGTAACTATGTAGTAACTCATATTCTTGAACAGAAGGTTGGTAATGATGTTCTATTTTATAAATTTACTTTCATTAATTTTACAGTTGGACACTCCAGTGGTTGCAAAAGGACCAGTAGAAATTTGGTTGAAGATTTTATTGCAAATGCAGCAGAAGTCATTGCATGGCATAATTAGGGCAGCATTTTACCAAATTAGTGACCCAGGATATCAGTTGCTGAATTTTCTTAATCAATTCCCAGCCCAGGTAAGAAGAGGAGTTGTGGATGTGTGTGTGCAGTCTGGGTTCAATCTGGGGCCAGGTGGAAGGTGAAGAGCACGTGGGACTGCCTGTTATGAGGAAGTTTTCGTAGAGAAAACAAGGGGAAGGATCTGGTCAGTAGAAGGTAATCCTAAATCACTTTGACTTTGATACCCAGTATACAGCATAATATTTTTCTTGCCATCTGTGTAAAATTAAGGTTTTTTCAGTTTTCTTGGAGAATATAAACAAGAGCTTATATTTCTTGTAATGAATTTTGAATCCTCTCCAGCTGCAAATAAAATTGCATGTGCAGATTGATTTCTCTCATAATTTGAGATTGCAAGAGCTATGATTATGATTATTTATTTCATAATTTACAAGATTTACCTTATATTTCATATATTTGTCAGTATGATAATGCAGTCCTAGAACAAGTCCATGTTGAAGGATTCTAGAAACTCCTCCATCTTACTGATAATTGGTCAATTTCATTATAAATTAATGAACTGTTTCCCATCCTGTATGAATTCTGCATCTGTAATTTGCTGACTGGTACAGTGCTGGGTGTATTTTTTAATAAAAATTCTGCAGATATTAAATCTGGCCAGTATGTTGCTATTTTTTTTTAAAAATCAATACATTTAAAGATTTAATAGAATTATCCTAAAGCTATATTTATGGTGTAATGGAGTGTTGTTTCAGCAGTGTTCACTTGAAAATTTTCACTAACTTAAACAGATAAAGACTGTCTTGTTTCGTGTCAGATATTTTGATGCTGCTTTACTACCATCTGCAAAGATCTTTTCTCATATCTTGCTTAGTTCTTATGTTCAAAACTTGTTTGTGTTAGAAGGGTTTGGCCAAGGAATTTTTACAAAGAAGAAGAGAGAAGAAATTGGGCAAAGTAACAAATGAAGACATGAAAATGAAATATTTTCTTCAAACTGCCTTTTTCCTGGCTCAGAAGCTGCTGTTATAGATGGCATGAAATAGTCACAACCAAATATTTATTTAATTTATTTTTTGTTTTCTTTTGATTAATTGGTTATTCTAAAATTTCTTTTTAGACTCTGCCTACGATAGCTCACCATGTAAAATCATCAGGCTATCTTGTAATACACAAACTCTGTAACCATGAGCTCACTACGGGCATAGGGAGCCAGAAAAGTAGAAAGAGATGTTGAATAAAATTTTTATGGTTGGTGCTTTGTGAATAAAGAAATGTGGGTAATAAAGGGATACACTGCTTGTCTGTCATTTTTTGTTGTGGGTATTGTAAATCAAAGCCAACCTGAGACAGTAATTTACAACAACAACCTATAACTCTCTAGATTTATTTGGAAGCAAAATAACTTGTAGTTAAGTGTGCTCTAGGCTGTACTCCAGGCATGACAGAATGTTAGAAGGCAAGCCACCCCATGGTAAGTGAAAATTCACAGCAATTTAATGTCCTTTAATTAGTTACAAATTGGCAATGGAAAATTTTCAGAAGGTGGTCTCCCCCCAGAGCCAGTTTAGGTTTGTATTACTGGAGTCCTCTAAATGATTGGAAGGGAAACTGACAGTAGTCCTTAGTTTGAGTGTATCTCACTATGTGACAAATTTTTGTAAAATATTTAACTACTTCTCAGCAGGTTGTGCAGCAGAGCCAATTAATTCAGGCATGGTGTCCCAGTGAGATAGATTCATGTTGGCTATAGTGATATTTTGGAACTGTCTACACCATAATTTATTGTTCCTATTATAATTAAACCTTCTGTAACACAGCTGAAGTTCAACAAGTGATTAGTTTTTATATTTTTCATATATGACGTTTTTAGGTTGGATTACTGGGAATTCAAATATTGTGGACACGTGATGGAGAAGAAGCTCTACGCAATGCTAAGGAAGACAAAAAAATCATGGATGTAACCAATGCTAGATTTCTGGATATTCTGAATACGCTGATTGGCCAGACCACACTAGATCTTTCCAAGTTTGAGAGAGTGAAATTTGAAACACTTATTACAATTCATGTGCATCAGCGTGATATTTTTGATGATTTGGTAAAGTATAGATTTTGATTTCTAACAGCTAAATGCATTTTCTGTCATAATACTCTTTCTTGTATGTGGTAGCTACAGTTACATGTGTATGCATATATAAGAAAAGACGTCCATAATCTCACCAAGGTAAAAATAATACAATTTTACTTAAACTAGAATAACATTAATTAGTTTCTGTCAACTAAATATTTTTGCCAAATATTCACACTTTCCTTAGAATATTTAAATTTTCCATGTCTTACTATAGAGGTTTTTTTGGTAGGCAAAACAAAGTATTTCCTTCCTTTGAAAAACAGACGTACTACTCTTACTTGCATAACTTAAGAAGCTGAGATCACTGAGGGTGTTGTAACTGTAACATCATTTCCTCATAACTTTACAGAATCTCAGATGGCACATGGCTGCATGTTCCTAAGGAGACTACACAGAACACAAACAAACAAAAAACCTGCTAGAGTCAGCAGATAGTTCCAGCTCTGCACTTGAACTTTTGAGACTGTGCTAAATTGTTACCGTTCCTTTATTCTCTGGGGAATGGCATCCTTCAACACTGTCCCTCACACGTTTCCAGAGGCTTTTTAGGTTACACAGCATTTGTTTCTCTGCCTCAGCCACATCCTTCCCTCACCACACCCTTTGTTGCAATGTGGATTTAGCAGTGTGCTATTTGCATTTCTCACTTGGAAAGTGGACCTCCCTACCAAAGCAGTTTAAGATTTATTTGATAACACAGATGTTGGCATGATTGGGTTAAGCAATCAGGACATTTTTTAATATCAGTTTAGCATACATCTGAACATGCTTATTGTATTTATGTCATGCTTATTGTATTGAAGTTTACTTACACAGGAACTTTAATCTGAATAATCACTCATTGCTGACATACAAATACTGACACACAAAAGCACTTTATCACAGTTGGTAAAGGCAATAAGTGTAGAGGCTCTGTTGTAATGCATACTTTTGCTTTCTTTTAAGGTAAAAATGAACATCAGAACACCGACTGATTTTGAGTGGTTAAAACAGTCTAGATTCTACTATAAAGAGGATTATGATCAAGTCATCGTAGCAATTACAGATGTTGATTTTGTTTACCAAAATGAATTTCTGGGTTGCACTGATCGTCTGGTTATAACACCTCTTACAGACAGGTTAGAAAAGCAACTATAGATAAGGAGTACTTTTAATACCTATAGTGTTTATTTAACATTTATCTTTAAAGAGATCCAATCTGAGTTAAGTCCTGTGTGGGCAAGATTATTCATGAAACGCTCTCATACCTGTGCTTAATATACTCTTTTAGAAAAGATAAAATACAGTCTCACTAATCTGTAAACTTACTTGTTCCTTTATCACTGCCCAGTGTTAAAAAGAACATTAAATAACAGGAATTCATTGTTTTAACGTTATATAGTAACATACTGTTACTACAGTATACTGAAGAGAAGATTAGGTCAAATATTTCAACGTTTGTAATAAGAGATTCTCTTAAGATTCTGTGGCTTCTTTGAAAGTCTAAGAAAAAGCTGTATGCACTCACCTTCTTCTACATCCAGGCAAGTAGATGATAATTTTGTTTCAAATGTGTCTTGACAAAGAACTATATTTCCTTTTTTCCTCTTGGGAATTTCTTTGCTTCCTTCTTTGTCCAAATTCTTTCTCCATTTGATCCTTTCTTGAGATATCACTTTTAACCAAATGAGAAAATAGAAGACCAAGAGATACTTGCAGAAAGATCCCCTCAAGATATAAAAACAACTTCCCACCTAAAATAATTTACTTTGATATCTGATATCTATATAGTGTATGTACTTCTATAATACCTTTATTTCTCCAGAAGTGGTAGAGCTGCTATTGTGAACATATGAAAAGTTTAGTAGATTTCTGCAGTGAAGTGTATTGCCCTCAGCAACTGAGTATTTTTGATATAAAATTGTTAAACTCTACCCTAAACTTGATTGAAATAAAACAGCAGAGAGAAAGGATTCCTGTCACTTCAGATTTTCTTACTGTATAGAAAGCAAGAAAACTCCTGCAGTGCAAGTTCAGTGTAATAAATTACAGTGATTCAAACTAAATTGGAGAACCAGTTAGTTATAAAACTCTGTTCATTTATGGATTAAAACCAGAAATATTTCAGTTAGAATGTTTCCAAACCATGTTGATTTGACAGTGAAGATACCCCACTGCTTAATTCCTTTGCATTTTTCTTCTATACCTTGCCATGAATGAAAATCATAGCTTAGGCTCACATATAAGTAGAACTGCAGTCTAGACTTTTTAAGACTTAAAAAAAAGGAGTAAAGCTTAGGGTTCTTTTTTTCCTAGAATTGTAACTGTTTCTTACCCATAATGAGGGATATATCCATATATCCTTATTTTTTCACACTTGAGGATTTAGTCAAAGGTAAAATAATTAAAGGTATTCAGGTTAGGATGATGCAAAATATGATGCCATAGCAGAATTCAACAGCAGACTGTGCTCTTTATAGCTGCAGAAAAGTTGATGACAAATACCTTTATGGGATGTGCATTGAGTTTTTAGCTTATTAACACCAGGGTTTGTTTCTTTTGTTGTTTGTTTGATTTGCTGGAGTTTTTTTCTTTTATAAGTAGCATTTTAATGTTATATTCAGTGCCTTTTACTTCTCTGAACTTCCTGCTTTATGAATTGCTTTATGAAGAGTTAGTATTTCAACATGGGGCTGTAAAATCTATTGCATAACTTGATCTGTATTTTATATATAAGCATTTATGTCTTTAATATAATTTAATAGAGTAACATCAATTAATATTTGTAGGTGCTATATAACTTTAGCACAAGCTTTGGGAATGAACATGGGAGGAGCTCCAGCAGGACCAGCTGGAACTGGTAAAACAGAAACAACAAAAGACATGGGAAAGGCTCTGGGAAAATACGTAGTAGTCTTTAACTGCTCTGATCAAATGGACTTCAGAGGTTTGGGCAGGATTTTCAAAGGTAAGATTTCTTCCTGTGGGATAGAGGGAGAGAAGAAACTTCTACAGGTCATTTAGCAGGTGCAGGTAGAGCAGGGTGTTGCTCAGTTCCTTATTTGTGCTGGGTTTTGACTGTCTCCAGGGATGGATGTTCTGCAACACCTCTGCTCAAGTGTTTTGATCGTTTTCCTTATCACATTTTTTATACTTCCTCTGGCTTGGAATCTTCCACATTGAAACACGTGTCCATTGTCTTCTCTTCTTCCTCTGCACCTCTGAAACAAGGCTGACTCCAGTTTCTCAGTGCCTCCTATTATCTAGTTGTCAAGAGCAATGGGCTTTTCCCTTTGCTTTCTCTTCAGGCTCAACAAGTGCTGTCCTTTCAGCCACTCCCGCCGTGTCCTGTCCTCCCTCCATCCCCTGACCATCACAGCAGCCACTTGGTGCTCTCGTGCAAATCCATCCATGTCTCTGCCCTGCTGGGAAAGCCCCAAGTGAGGTGGTGTTCCAGGTGTTATCTGGCGAGTGCAGAGTAGAGGTGAACAGTGACATTCCTCACTCTGCAGGCCACGCTCTTGCCCAGTGTGCAGCTGGCTTCCCTTGCTGCAAGGGCATGGCTCTGATTCACGCCTAATTAGCTGTTAAATGGAGCAGCAGGTCGATTTCTGCAAATCTGCTTTGCAACCCAGCCTGCACAGAGCTTGTCCTGCTGCATGGGGTTATTCTGGTCTAAGTAAGGGACTTGAACTTCACGAGATTTCTGTCAGCTCATTTTTCAGAGTAATGGCATTGTATGTACTGGGAAACGAGAAGCATAAAAGTGGCTAAATCTGTGGGTTTATAAACATATTGCCCATTTGAAAGTCATTAAAATTTTAGAAAATCTTCGAGTGGCAAAATTCATGACAGAATGTCTTTAAAGTGATTTAGCCTAAACTGTGTAACACGAATAAACCCTGAATTACTTACATAAATTATTCAAAATTAAATAGAAAGCTTTCAGTATACATGAAAGAAAAACATGGCTTGCTGGTACTTTACTATCATTTGGGAAAAAATGCTGTTAGAAACTTTCTTTTAAAACACTGTGAAAGGAAAAACTATTCTCTTAGGTGCTGGTACATACATGTTACTTTTCCAAACAGAAATTAGGCAACTGTGAAAATAATCCTGTACAAAAAATATTCTTGTTATTAATAGAGTACTTCTAGATTTCTCTTTTCATTTATTTTTCTTTCTCTGGGTTTCTCTCTGTCTTTCATAGACATATCCACACTTTGATTGCTGTTAATATCCTGGACTATTACATGAGAAAATTTTTTAATGGAGACTTAAAATGGTAGCATAAAAACAGTGACATTTTTTTCGTGACATTTAGGACTAGTGTTTTGTAACTCTAAGTCACTTATTTTTAATTTTTTAGACTAACAGTACAGCGTTTTGCAAATAATTGAATGGTGCTCTACAATAAAAGGCTACATTCACGGAATTATCTATAAAAATATTTATCAAATGCCCCAAATTATCAAAATATTTTTTCAGACTTTGATTTACTTTTAAACATTGTGTATAAATCAACTAATATTAATTCAGACAGATATGGAAACGGTCAGTTGGATTGGAGGAAGAGAAGCCTTGGCTACAGGGCAATAAATAAAATTAATACGATTTAATTACTTGCAGGAAATGTCATTTAGTTCAGCTATTCAAATATGAATGAAGGACAAGAGATAATTGTTTTTTCTTTCCCTGTTTTAGGTCTTGCTCAGTCTGGATCTTGGGGATGTTTTGATGAATTCAATCGAATTGAATTGCCTGTCTTGTCAGTAGCAGCACAACAAATCTATATTATTTTAACAGCAAGAAAAGAAAAAAAGAAGCAGTTCATTTTTTCTGATGGAGACTGTGTAGATTTAAATCCAGAGTTTGGAATTTTCCTAACTATGGTGAGTGTAGTAATAATTTCAAAGAAGTGGGAAATTGTACTACATAGAGATTAAGTGACAAGGTGAAAATAACTGGTTTTAGTAATAAAATAATGTCAGTATAGGTTTAGATTAAAGCACACAATACATAAATGATTATTCGTGAATGGCATGCCTTCATTTTGACTTTAATATTATTAAAAGAGTTCATAATTATGTTCCTTCATTGCTGTATTGCTATTCACCATGCAGACCAAGAGTTTGACCAAACTTGCAGAATTCTCTGTGCTCACAGAGAGGACTGAAACACTAATACGCTTTACTACCATATCTTTAATAATCCTAATAACAATGCATTAATAATTCACTAATGTTTTAATAATATTAACATAGTAGTAATTTAGAGTAGCATTAATACTTTAACAGTATTAATGAGAAAGGTACTGTAAAGGGGGGGAAGAAAAAGAACATTCAGTTAAAGAAGGAGATATAAGAAAGGTATTTTTCAGGGACAGAGGTCTTGACTAATGGGTACCTACATGGATACGTAAAAATTCTTTGATCTCCCGTAATATTAACTTTCAGAATATGCTGTCTTGTTGCCATAGGATTCTTGAGGCTTCATAAAACTATTTCCTGTAGGCAGGAAATTTTCAAGTGTGTTTTCTAAAGCCAAGGCAGATAGCAATCCAAGATGACTTTATGGGAGATTAAAATTACAATAATTGGTAGGCAAGACTTCTAACTCCAAACTGCTCTGAGTGTTTATACAAGCATTTTTTTAATTGAACAATAAAAAGGAGGCTATTTTGACTATTGCAAATAATAATGATGCATTATGTTTTCGTATTTAGAATCCTGGATATGCTGGACGTCAAGAACTACCAGAAAATCTCAAAATTCAGTTTAGAACTGTTGCAATGATGGTTCCAGATAGACAGGTATGATTCCTGACTGAACGGAAAAAAAGATATTTTAGTTTGCTGACCTGTCTTCAGGAGAAACTAATAGAATTTCTACAAATACTTGTATTTCAGATAATTATAAGGGTTAAACTTGCAAGTTACGGATTTATTGATAATGTGGTCTTGGCTAAGAAATTCTTTGTTCTTTATAAACTTTGTGAGGAGCAGCTCACTAAGCAGGTAATGTTTTGTATTCCCTTTGTCTTTGTATGTACATGGTAAAGCCTCCTACTTTTTGGGTTATACAGGTTGTTTCTGAAACATCATTTCCATTCCTTTTATAAAATATTGAAATACTTTAAATGTAATTTAAACAAATACCTCTATAAAATTTCTGAATAAATGTCTACATTAATTCATGAATATGTAGTTGTATATGCACCCTTTTTTGTTAAAAATGATGCATTTTAGTTAGTTGCAAGTGCATGAGATTCTCTGCCTAAACATGTCAGCCACAAAAAAATTATCCCAGTCATATAATTTTTCTGTAAGAATTATCTTGTGCTTAGGTAAGTAGTTGGAAATTGGAAACTGGAAAGCACAGGAGAAACCTCTAGTTTGTTTTAAATTGTTCATGTCCCCTTAGCACTACCTTGATCTGAAGTCTGTGCTTTAGGATGCCTTAGTTGAAAAGACAGGGTCTAGAATGGAACTATTAGTTTTTTAGAAGCCTGCTATTCAGAGCTACAAAGTTTTTTTCTATATAGCATGATAAATGGTGAAATCAATTATTAAATTAGGAAAGAAAAACCTTCTAGCAGACACATATCTTCCTGAAAACAACTTTATTAGCCTTCATTTATTTGAACAGAATAATTCCTAAGCACCAACAATTCCTATTTTAGCTACATTTTCCAGGCAGGACAACTGTACTATACAATATGCAAGTAAAGCTTGATATATTAATGAAATAAAGCTGGAGAATTTGTGAGTGATACATAAGCCTTCTTCCACTCTCTAGGTCCATTATGACTTTGGTCTGAGGAATATCCTTTCAGTACTGAGGACTCTTGGAGCTCAAAAGAGAGCCAGGCCAACTGAAGGCGAATTAAGTATTGTCATGAGAGGGTTAAGAGATATGAATCTTTCTAAGCTGGTAAGAATTTAATTTAATATTTCAGCACCATGTAGAGACAAGCCTAATAGATATTTAATGGGTTTTGTATGAGATCAGAGAAAAATCTCAAACATTCTTTTCTTTAAAAATTGAAACATGATAACATTCATGTTATCATTAAACAGCATAGAGAGTTTATTAGACTTATAAATAATGTTCATTATGCAAAGGTTCAAATAGATTAATAGTGGCTTACCTCTGAATGTGACTTGCAGTGTCCTGACTTGTGCACAGACTGACTACTGTACCATAAGTAAATTGAATTATTAATATCCACCAAATCAGACTTTTAAAGATTTCTTTCCAGATAGGATGTTCTTTCCAGTATAAGCTGCAAGTGGTTTACAAATCAATTTTATAAATAGATTCCAGTGACTACTCAGTGGGAAATTTCTTTCAATTCTGAATTTCCCTTTTGCATGGCTTGTGGATGACATTTTAAAAACACTATTTTTGTAGCAAGCTCTCCTGTTAGCTGTCTGTAAACCTCTGTAGCTAGAAAGTATGTTATTACTGCTTATTCTTTTAATACAGAGACTAGATTTTATTTAGAAACGTTCTTTGGATAGCCATCCTTTAAACATTTAATAATATTTTTTGTTTCAGATAGATGAAGATGAGCCTTTGTTTCTGAGTCTTATCAATGATCTCTTCCCGGGGTTGCACTTGGACAGCAGTACCTATGATGAGCTCCAGGCTGCAGTAGCTCATCAGGTTGAGGAGGCAGGATTGGTTAACCATCCACCATGGAATCTTAAGCTTGTTCAGGTAAAACTTTTTTTTTTCTAAAACGTTCTTCACAATCACAGGAGTCAGAACAATGTGTTAGTTGCTAGATCGCTGTCTTGCCCAAGAACCTGTGCATCAAATATGGGAAAAACTGAAGGTCGTGTGTGCACCAAACTAAAGAAGATCAATGCAAGGGACTTGTACTGTGGTGCCTGTAGATCTTCATCCTGGACTGGTACAAGCCTTTGTTCAGCTTGCAGAGGAAGAGCTGTATATGCTTCATCTGAGAAGATTTTGGCACCCAGGAGGACTATTACTGCTTTGTGCCATTCAGTTCATCCATACTTGTATAGGCAGACTGACACTTCCACAGGAAACAGAATGCTAATATTAAAAGACAAATAGAAAATTCAGTAGAGAACTCTCCTGAAACTAAACCCATACACAGTTCTGGAGAAAGTGCAGTCCCTATGTTTTTTTATATACTCAGGTATTTCAGCACTGTAGTAATTAATCATACTTCTTTAGCAATAATGTTTTGCTACTATTAATTTTTCCTTTTGAATAATACAGAAAAATCCTTTTCAAATCTCTTAAAACTATTTTCAATTGCCTTTTAAAAGATAGGTAAGATTTAGTTCTGTGAACCGTTTATAGTAAACTTGCTTAGTGCTAAAAAGATTAGGAACAGAAGTTATGCACTCTTCCACAAAACACTAAAATTCAGCAAATGCACGCTAAATTCAATCCTGAGTGTATAACTTGTATGTCTAATGCATCTTAATTACTACTAAGTGCAAGCAAAATCTCTCTCAAGCATGTATTTATTTTGATTTTTAAATTAAATGTTTTATTTTTGTTTTGTTAATAGTTGTATGAAACTAATTTAGTGCGTCATGGATTGATGACACTTGGACCTAGTGGATCTGGAAAAACGATGGTCATAACTATATTAATGAAAGCACTCACAGAATGTGGCCAACCTCATAAGGAAATGCGCATGAACCCCAAAGCTATAACTGCTCCTCAAATGTTTGGAAAACTAGATGCTGCAACTAATGACTGGACAGATGGAATCTTCTCTACTCTGTGGAGGAAAACACTGAAAACCAAAAAGGGTGTGTAAATACTTTTCATTTGGTATCATAAAAATGTATCTTGAATGATATGTTGAAAAAAAGCATATTGAATTCACAAATATTCCTCTTAAGGAAAACTATGGAGAGCATAGTTTGAGAGCATAGAGAGCATATGGAGAGCATAGAGATGAGATTACACCTCTTAAGAAAGGACACTGGTTTAAAGATTTAGTATTTCAGTAGTATATCTACATTAAAAAAAAGAGATCATTTTCTTGCCACTTCTACAGTGTAGATGTGTTACTTGGAAGCTGATAAATCATAAATTAGACTAACTTGTTCTAATGGCACTGTTTTTATAATAATGTTATTCTCATGGTTTTACATACATTGCTTACCCATATTTATATTTTAATATTTTAGGATTGGCATACTGAAATTCCTTTTCACAGTATTTAATTTGTATCTGAACGAATAAATATATTAAAGAAAGGAAATTCTTCTATGGAACCTTCCTAGAAGGATGTTAATTTTAAAAGACATTTAAATTTCTTACACTGGAAATGCATATGTTTTTTCTAATAGAAAATTTCTATATTCCAAATGAAGCCAGAATTCTAAAATTTACTTGCCAAAACTTAGGTATTTACATCTATGTTTATATTTCAAAATATAAGAAAAATAACCAGATTTTAAGAAAAGAGGAGCGAACATAGGTTTCATTTACTTGAGAGGGACCTGTCAATATTCCATGTCTCTTGTTTAGTTGCTCAAAGAATCCTTATTTTAGCAAAAAAATACTAAATTGCCTAACCTCCCTGTGCTGCTAGAGTAGGGTTGGGGCAGGAGGAGGAAGGAGGAAGAGTTAGGTTGTGAAGAAAGAGATTGAATCTGGAGAAAGAAAATGGGGTGGGGTAATGGTGTTCTAGGTGTTTGTCTTGGCTTCTCATCATCCATATCTATGTTAATTTGCAACAAAATAATGTTTTCCAAGTTGAGTCTGTTTTGCCTATGACAGCTGTCAAGTGATCTCCCGGTCTTTATCTCAACCCACAAACATTTTTATTGTATTTTCTCCCTCTGTCGTGTTGAGGGAGGGTAGAAAGAGAGAATAGCACAGTTTCTATCTGGTAGCCAGCCAAATATTCAACACAAAAAAGGTATTTTTGTGCCCTCATTTGCTACCGATTGTTTCAAATATATTTCTTTAACTAAGTATGCCATTTATTTAGGAATGAGCATTCATATAAATGGCAGAAATTGCAATAAATAAAATAAATTTTTATATGATGTTTAAGTTCCAAACATTCTTTTGTACACTTATTTTCTTGCTTTTTCAGTGATGTGATATTAACTATTTCTCTTGGTTATTTTTCCAGGTGAAAATGTATTTCTGGTTTTAGATGGTCCTGTAGACGCAATCTGGATTGAGAATTTAAATTCAGTTTTGGATGATAACAAGACCCTCACCCTTGCAAATGGAGATCGAATTCCTATGTCTCCTTCATGTAAACTGTTATTTGAGGTCCACAACATTGAGAATGCCTCTCCAGCAACAGTTTCTCGAATGGGTATGGTCTTCATCAGTTCTTCTGTCCTCAGCTGGAGACCAATATTGCAGGTAGGATAATTATCACTGGCTACTCCTTATTATACCTCGTTATACATTTTATACTGAGCATTATTGTGCATGTTTTTTTCAGGCATGGCTGAAAAAACGTACTGCTCAAGAAGCTGAACTTTTGCAAAGTTTGTACGACAGAATCTTTGAACCAGCATATACGTATATGAAACTAAACCTTAACCCCAAAATGGAGCTTCTGGAATGTAACTACATTATGCAGGTAAAACAGATACTGCATGAGTCTGTATGAATTGACTGACAACAGTTAAAGTGTAGAAATAGCAAAGAGAATATTTGATAACCATGAAATTTAATTTGAAAATACTGTCTTGTGACAAAGAAAAACTCAAAATCAATATTTTTTCTTGGGCGATATAAGAGGAAAAGTGGATATGTGCAGAAGAAAATTTTTCTTCTCTGTATTACCTCACACCTAGGCTAGTCTTCTAATGATTGGAATTTGTAAGCTTTAGTAAATTTCCAGAAGTGTATGTTTAATAAGCTAGTAGATTCATTTTGGTTCTTTTAATGCCAAAAACTTTTGATAAGGATCACTATATCTCTCCTGGCACTGTCAGCAGAGAGAGAGAAGAATAATTCTGTTTATCTCTTTATCTTCAGATGTAATAGGTGTAATTCTGTCCATCAGCTCTTTCAAGGTCAATGTAGTAGTTTTTGCCTCTCCTTTCATATCAGTTGGAATTCTACTTTGCATGGAGTCCAAACTATACCAGTGATTTATGAATAACATAAATTTGTGTTTGGCAGATTTTGCATGACTTTCAGTCCTGTACTGCATATCTCCTGTTGATTAGTTTATGAGTCTGTTGTCATCTGCAGATTCTAAGTTTCTAGACTTTCCATTTGTCTATGTAATCTCCCTTTTATTTTGACACACTTATAAAAAATTCAGTGGTGCCCTTGAAGAAGAGTCTAGACAAGGTAATGTTTTGGATAACACTCCAGTTTAATGTTAAACTACCTAATTTGCACCCAATATCTTTTTGCTGATCATTAGAGAGTTGGTTTCAGATTTTCTAGATTGTGAAGTATTTTAGTGCAAACTAACAGCCACAGTAAATGCTGGAGCGCTTAACTGTGGGGTATCAAATGCAATTGGAGTATGTTTAGAATTAAAGTCCCCAGCAGAAACAACTGAACTAACCACTTTATGGTGTGCAATGCACAATGCTTTTGAGAGAGGTATTATTTTTATTCTACATTTCTTATCTGTGAAACCTCTGAACTGAGCTTGTCTTCATGGAAAATTTTTTTCCTGTGATCAAAAATTTCTGTTCTTTTTGATTAGCGTTTTTTAGGAAGTGCCGGCAAGTCAGTGCTTTATTCATGCTGCTTGATCAGGGAAATATTTCCCTGATTTAAGCTGCATTGAATGTTTCTTTGTGTGAATGATAATCTCTATTAAGTTTCTGTCACATTTGTGACGAAGCAAATAACTCTTAGCAGGCCTCCATGCTTGTGTTATCAAAGAGCCAGTGACACCAGAGATTTTTACCTTCCTTGCACATTAAAATCCCAGCTTTGCCATAAATGGTCTCTGTGCAGAAGCCCTGTACCTTATCAGCCTCCTGGTTTGTTGGGTCTTGTGTCTTTTAGCAATTGTAGGATTCAGGACATGCTGCTTCTCTTTAGTTCATGCATTTTCAAAAATTACAACCAAATCGAAGCAGTTGCATCTGGCAGACTTGTATTTGAGTTCCAAAGCTCGGTTTTGGATGTTCACCCAAACATGCAAATGTACCTGATTTTGTGCCATTTGTTAGCATTCACAATTTGAGTTACATATTTATGTACAACAGGTTTATAGTGGCTTCATAAAAATGTGATCTCACTTTTATTTTTCTCCTTGTAATTTCCACTGACTTTCTAACTCTTTATGCATCCTCTGGCCCACCTCATTAGGTAGACAAATATAATTTACCTTAGGAGATTCAACACCAGATTTTTTAGATTTATCCCGCCTTACTAGCCTATTGGAAAAGTCAGTAAACTTGCAGCTAAAGGAGATCTGATTGATGTAGTCTGCATGAAGGATCAAAGGTTTGACATCATTCTTTACTAGGCATTTACATGGATGCTAAATAGTCATAGCAGGAGTTTCATTTCTAGATAAACAATGTATCAGAAGATAGGAAATGTGTGAATGAATTATCAAGTCTCAGAAAAGACAGAAGTTATCACTGATCCTGAGGCACCTTTGCTGGGATCAGTGCTGCTCAAAATGTTCATAAACAATTTGGAAAAGTTTTAGGTGAAGAAATTTATTGATGATACTAGATTATTCAGGGTATTAAGGACAAAATAACTAACCATGAAGAACTGTAGACAGACTTTATGAGACTGAATAAATAGGTAATAAAATGGCAAATGAAATTCAGTGAAGATAAGCATGAAGGAGTTCACACAGGAAGAAAACAAACTGTTCAGTGCCATGAATAGCAGACCTATGGGACATCTTGCCAAAGGTTGTAATAGACAATAAAAGTTTATGTAGGCTCAGGACCAGTGTTGCTATTTGAAGGGTGGAAAAAACCACATGGGATTACAAAAGCATAAAACTTGTGTCTTGTTCAGAAAGTCACAAGCTGAAGAGGGTACCAACAGGCAGTACTATCCCAGCACCACCACAGGCCAAGAGAGATTGTTTTATTTTACTCTTTTCTGCTTCTGGCCACTGTTGCAAACGAAATGCTGGGCAAACATTAGAAGTATGTGTTACTATTTACTTCCCTCTCTGAATATGAGATGCAAGACAGCAAAAAAGAGTACTAATTCCGAGAGCAGACTGAAAATCTGTTTCACTGTTAAAAAGATGTATTTTGAAACAATATGCTGCACACTGTCTTTTATAGAAAGGGTGTACAATTAGGGTTACCTAACAGTCAAACATCCGAATTCATAAGCAATATCACAAAATTGTAGATAACAATTAGATACTATTTTTCTAGAATCTGGACTCTAGTTCCTTAGAAACAGAGTGAAACAATCACATAATAGAATAATTGAATCTATTTTCTTAAAAACGAAAAAATAGAAGTTAATGTGATAGATACATAAACTATACCATAATTGAGATAAATGCATCAGACAAATGCTGAAAATTCTTCCATGCTTAAAAATGGAAAGAAATGGCTAGGTTTTACCTATTCTTGGAGTTCTGAATATTATAAAATCCCTTAAAAAGTTTTGTTACCCTAGCTCATAAATGACATTTATTTTCTAGGCATAATTTAAAATTGATCAAATTATCTAAGTAATTTTGAAAATTTCATTCAATTCTATATAGCTATCTTTAATAAATTTTATTTGGTTTTCTGCCTGAATTTTATGTTTGGTATTTTTTTGTAATCCGTGTTGGTTTATATTTTGAATACATATAAATAGTACATATAAATAAATGTACATATATAGGTAAATAAAAAGTGATTATGTAATATTTTCTAAATTCATATTTTAAAATGCTTTCAGTCTATTAATCTTCTGGAGGGCTTGATTCCATCGAAGGAAGATCGTGGTGCACAACGTCTGCATAGATTGTTCAACTTTGCAATAATGTGGAGTTTAGGTGCCCTCCTGGAGCTGGACAGTAGAGATAAACTTGAAGCCTTCATTAGAGCTCATGATAATAAATTAGACTTACCAAAAATCCCTCGTGGCAGCAGTCAAACGATGTATGAGTTTTATGTTAATGATCGTGGTAAGAAAAAGAACCAATATTGTTTTTCAAACTGTCATTTTAGAACTGTGTTACTGCTTTAGTCCTTATTATACAGTCCTATGAGCTGAGAATTTTGGCAGTGTAGTGCCAGCACATTTGTGGATGTGAGAAGTCAGAGACAAGACATAGAGTGCTCATTGCTAACATTTTATTATTTCTTTATAATTTCCTTCTTGCAAACTACTTTTCTATTAATTTAGCCAGCCTGCAATTTGTAGATAATTTGTGCTTAGGCTGGTTCAGTCTAGCTTAATATTATTTTATGTTTAATTTTCTTACAGCTGGTAGTTTTTGTTAAAGGAATAAAATCTGATTTTAATTTTGCTTAGTAATTATTACTCACGTCTAATAACCAGTCATAAAGCTGAAATGTTATACAATTGTAAGAATAGTGAGATATTTTGATTCTTGATATTTTGAATAGTATGCTATTTTCTAGAACAAATTTTTTAGTTTAACTAGCACACACAACCGTTGTTACAAAAAACAGTGTCGTGATAGAGTATGTTCTCTTCTGAAGAAATTAATTTCTATCATATCCAGATTAATTCTTTTTTACCAGCAACATTGATTTAGTGTACACATATGTAATCCATATTGTCATGTTCTGTAATTTTTCACTAGCAGTGTGAGAATTAGTTTCTAGGTAAACATTTTTTATTTAAGGATATAAGGTTTTTATTTAAGGATATAAGTTTTATATAAGTATATATAAATTTAATAAATACATCTACATTTAGTAGGGTTGTAGACTAATTACAGGTCATGACTGAGAATGTCCTTTGTTAGGTGGATTTTAGATGGATTTGATAAAATTTATCCCTTTTTATATTTTGTAGTATTCTTTCTATAATATCTGTTTTTTAAATTATTGTATTCATGAAATATTGAACGTATTGAACATGATCAGAATATTATTAAATTTTCCACTACTACTTTTTCTTTTTTTTTTTTGGTCATTTCAGGTGCCTGGGAGCATTGGAGTAATAAAGTTCAGGAATTTGTTTATCCAACAGATCATGTCCCCGACTATGCATCTATTCTGGTTCCAAATGTTGATAATACCAGGACTCAGTTTTTGATAAACACAATTGCAAAACAAAAGAAGGTAAGTACAAGATTACATATTTTAGTATATACCCACCATATAAAATAAATAGAAAACAAAAAGTAACAGGATGTTACAATCGTTCTTTATCTTGTTATCATTGTCTCTAGTCATTACTTCCCAGGTGCATTATTATATTGTTTTATTTTTATTTTCTTAACATGGATCCTCTGTAATTACTTTTGTGCATGAACAAACCTTTAAAACATAAGGGAAGGAATTTACAGGAAGCCTTCTTAGGGTCATCCACTAAAAGAGACTGTTATAGCAGATGTGTCAGAAACTGGAAGAAGTTTGGCAATTGGAAGAAAGTTCTCTAGCACATTCTTGTTTTTTCCTTTCTCTTTTAAATCTGCAAAGAAATTTCTTGGAGAATCTCTGTGGGATGAAAACCACATATGGTCTCAGTGCATATGGTGACAAGAAAAACCTATCAAAAAATGTATCACTTAAAACTAGACACAGAAACTATTCATTTCTCAAAAAAAAGCTCTGTTACGCATATATAAATATAAGTTTTGATATTACATATGTGGTTTAAATATCTGTTACAGGCTGTTTTGCTCATAGGAGAACAGGGGACTGCGAAGACAGTCATGATTAAGGGATACATGAAGAGATATGACCCAGAAGAGCATTTGTGTAAAAGTCTAAACTTTTCATCTGCCACAGAACCATTTATGTTTCAGGTAAAAATATAGATTTTAAACAATCTTGTGTACCATTTCCTTGCTAAGTGTATAAAGGGTACTTAATTCTGGTGATAAGTGATTTAGAATTAAGTTACAGAGGATCTTTTTTGTCTGTCGTGTCAACATTTCAAAAAATTCTATTAAAAATTATTTTTGTAGATCAGAGTAAAATATAGCCACTCACATAGAGATACATATATTCATTATTGCTGTGTGATTTTTCATTATGGAATTCTTAGAATCGATGTTTTTGCTAAAGACCTTTGATTTTCCTTTCAGATATTTTTCTTATATTTTGGGTTTTTTCTGATTCTTTATTATATAGTGTTAATTTTAATTTTTGTTAAATAAAGAACAGATTTCAACCTTTAGATAATTTTATTTTTCCTCAGCTCAGGAGTAACTTCAGCATCAGAAATTCAATATTTAAAGACCTCTAGCATGACAACTTTGTAGAAATTTCTCTTTCCCAATGTAACTGGTAAAAATCCATATAAATAGAAAAAAAAGCCGCAAAAAAATTTTTCAAGTGATTGAAAGGATGTTTTATAACACTGTGGTATGCTTTGATACTACTAATTTGCTAGGATGTGATGCTGTAAGTGAAATTGGCTTCATTACTAATTCAATGCAATGAATGCATAGTGATGAGCCTCTGTTAGGAGAAAATTCATTTTGGGACATTTCTTAATTGAAAAATCTATTGGTAGAATAGGTCTTACAAACTCCATTCCAAAATTAAGCGTCTTTTTTTAAGAAGCTAATGTAAATGTTATTAAGAAAATGGTGAAAAATAATCGATTATACAACTATTTAAAAAAAATTCCAGACTCAGAGAATGGCTGCTGAGTTTTTCCCAGCAGGTATTCTTATGTGTAAGATCTGTGGTCATGGTTTGTATGAAAATGAGACAGAATAAGGGAGCTGTCCTTTCATGCATGCAAGGCTTAGTGAACAGTCAGCATCTCTGTCCAAGTGCCCTTTAGTGAGCCTATTATGGCTCCTCAGAACATTCTTGGAAATAAATCCCAGACTTGCTCTTCTGTGGCACAGAGGGTGTGATGTAGCAGAGAAAACAGATGAAATGCTTCTAATAACTTGAAAGAGTTACACTACACGCAAGGATTTTTTTTTTAATAATTTTGAGTCACCATTCTGAGTTATTTGAAAGGTTGTGTGATTTTGGATGCATCAGACATGCTACAAAGTTCTTGATTTCTTACGTAATGACTCATCAGTTTCTCTTTTTGAACTTAGTCACGTGCTCTTTGTGTGTCTGCATCTTAAAATACTCATCAATATCGTGTTGTAAAAATGGGACAAAAGCATTGGACAAAGGATGTATCTATTTTCTGTTTCAAAAATACAATTAATACCTTTACCTTTATGACAGCACATGCAGCATTATTCATATAGGGTTATAATTGTGTTTTTATAAAGAAAACATTATTTATCTAAGGAAAACATCTGTTACCATCTTATAAGGTGGTTTTTTTTCTCATTGTTTATGTATCTTTAGAAAGACTGTAGAGATGTAGAACTTTGAAGAAACATTTCTGTTATATATCAATCTTACTCATCTATTGCATCCTCTTTCTTGACATCAAAATATTAAAATTTTGCATTACATCTCTTACAAGGCACCTGGGAAATCATAATTAAAGGAATCTAAGTTGCTTCTGTGTGCTCTGCAATTGTATTGCAAATATTAAACAAGTGGTATTAGTCAGGGAAATGATAATGCTGGTAATGAAATAATAGTTTCTAATTAGAAATAATAATTTTAATAATAATTTCTAATAATAATTTCTGATAGCCAGATGTGGATTGCAGGACAGGATTTGGATTCCTTGGGAAGTGGGTTCCTTAATGCTAGAATTAAAGATGAAACTGCTAACAAAAAGAGGGAGTCATTGGCTGAGTGCTGTAGCAGGTTTTTCAACAATGCATTTTAAATATTGTTGCTTTAGATATGAAATGAGAACTCTCTTTACCTTTTTAGAGAACAATAGAGAGTTATGTGGACAAACGTGTTGGAAGTACTTATGGACCTCCTGGGGGCAGAAAGATGACTATTTTTATTGATGATATCAATATGCCATTTATCAATGAATGGGGAGATCAGGTAAGCTTTTTTAATATTTACTACCTCTTCTCAAATTGCTATGCTTTATATATATATACATGAGAATCAATGGACTTCTTAAATATTTTAATAAACTGTTAATTATTGGAAATGCTTTATAATTTTGGTACACTGATACACACCAAAAAAAGAGAACAAATCTAATTGTGTTCAAGTAGCATATTATCAAGTTTGACATTAATCTGAGAGCACTAATAAATAAATTTCTGCCAGTAGAAAGGCCAGTACCTTGGAGAGAGAAATAAAGGATATGAAAAACTCAAGGCCTCCACTAGGTCTTGCATTATGGCCCCAAGACATGGCTGAAATATTTTTGATGGGATAATAGTTTGTGATTGGTGACATGCCACATATCATGTTGGTTTTGGTGTGGTATGTGAGCACATACATAAGCCTTGCTGAATATTGTTGGAGCACTTGCTATGGGGCAAACCCTGGAGCTGTAGGGTGGAATGAAGAGTGAATAACCTTTCCAAAAGAAGCATAAAATAATCAGTTGTTTTGCTTCAAAGGAGGCCTAAGACTGAGCTGAAAAGCATAGATGGAACATCTGTAGCCGAATTTCCAGCAACAAAATAAGGAACAAAACAATTTTTCCCCCAGTTAATTTCTTTAATTTTGTTTAGTTCAAAAGAATACAAACACATTTCCTTGATATTATATGGCAGTAGACCTCTGAAACAATTTTTTTTCCTGACATTTAAAATCACAGGAACCAAGATCTTCTGTATGACTAAGAAAGGTAGTTTAATCTGGTTTTAGATTCATGTAACAATATCTCTCTATGGATTAGGAGAATAAAAAAAATAAATTAAATTACCATGGTGTATTTTTTTATTTTCTTGCATAAGTTTCTAATTTGCACAACTTACATAAATTTGCAGATAACAAATGAAATTGTCCGACAGATGATGGAAATGAGAGGAATGTACAGCTTGGACAAACCTGGAGACTTCCTTACAATTGTAGATGTACAAATAATAGCAGCAATGATCCATCCTGGAGGAGGCCGTAACGATATTCCCCAGCGTTTAAAAAGACAGTTTAGTGTATTCAATTGTACATTGCCATCCAACTCATCCATCGACAAAATTTTTGGTATTTTTTCCTCTGGTTTTAATGCAATTTATTTCCCTTCATAATGAACTTAAAATTTATAAAAGTATGCTTTCTTTCTCACTTTCATCATGCAACGTCAGAGTTCTTCCAGTAAAACAACTGAAGATGTGGTACAGCAAAAATAGTGCTGTGGAAGAGAAATGAAACCCTTTAAATGCTTATCTTTCTAATTTTGGACAAACATTAAGAAAGTAATGATATTTCCTGGAAGACTATGAGCACTGCTATTTCTGTGTAGGTTAACATTGCACCTCTGATCTGTCTGAAATGTACTCTGTTGTAAATTTCTCAATTCTGGTAACGCTGTCAATACAGGATATGGCAGAAACCCAGCACTTACTGCCTGATGTTTCTATACCAATTCAGAAAAGCCATAGACAACAGAGAAAAAATAATTTCATCTTAGTTTTAAATTATGTTTTACCAAATTATGTTTTAAATAAACACCTGTTTGTCTTGGTCACGACCTACCTTATTATATCCTACAAGCTGAGATTAATTGTTTATTATGTCTTGTAATTTCAGGTATAATTGCCACTGGATACTTTCATCCTTGTAGACAATTCAACTCTGAAGTGTGTGAAATGGTGGAAAAGTTGGTCTCAACAGGAAGAATATTGTGGCAGCGGACAAAGGTATAAATGCAAGAGAAGATGTTTCTATGAATGGAGTGACTATTAGTTTAGTTTAGGCAACTATTCCCTAATATCATATCTAGAAAAACCCAAACAAAAACCAAACCACTCCACCCCCTCAAAAAAAAAAAAAGAAAAACAATATTTTAAAAAACAGAGGATGGGCTACAATGTTTTCGAGATGAAATCTGGAAAATATCAGATTTCAGTATACAAGACAGATGAATGGAACTATCAGTTAATCAGTTAATTCATGCTACCCAAAGTTTTAATCTTCATAGCTAAGGAACAGGGAGTCAAATTTTTTACGAATTATAATTTTTAATTTATAAAACCAGAGCAAGACATCAAAAAATTACATGTTGTAAGTAGTGATGTTCTACATTTAGTGATAGATCCTGCTTTCAAACAATTAGATACTCTTGGTGACTTCTTTAAAGAGTTTTCCCATAGTATTATGTGTGAAAATTAGCAATATTAAAAAATTGTATGTTTTATATGTGTTATTAATTATATTGATTTTTTTCTAGGTTATTGATTTTGAATATTAACAATATTTTTCTTTAGGCAAAGATGTTACCTACACCATCTAAATTCCACTATATCTTCAACCTTCGAGACCTTTCTAGAATTTGGCAAGGAATGTTAACTATAAAGGCAGAAGAATGCACAACCAGCACTGTTATCCTAAGACTTTTTAAACATGAATGTACCAGAGTAATTTCTGACAGGTATAATAATTATAGCATTTTATATTTACTAGGTCTCACCACTTACTTCATTTGTGCTCATACATCTCTAAAACTTCTAAATATTATTAATCTTATTAGACCAATATGAAAAAATTATTTTATATACAGTCTGCGTTGGGGTATTATTCCAACAAATATCATGATATGTACTGATAGATTAACCTAGTGACTGACTGGAAAACATCAAAATATCTACATATTATATATTTTAACCTACTTTCCCCCACACACACTTTGGCTGCCCTCAGCCTACTCCACTGTAGAAAAGAGAACTTTATGGTGTCCTAAATTTATACACATAGGATAATTTAAAATTACTTTGCTCTTCTCACAGAAAAAAACATGATTGCATGATTATGACTAAAAATTGACCCATTTCCTATAAATATCTTTCAAAATATTCATGAAACAGATATAGCTATGACCTGTATGTCTTGAAAACCAGTATTATTTTCCTGTTCATTGTGTTTCAATTTCTTGTGAAATTCTAGATGTAGCACTAGAGCTGCTGCTAAAAACCTGACATATACTCACTACTACTGTGAGTAGTTAAAATTAATACATTTTTTTCTTACTCTGATGCGCTGAGAAATAGCATTCATGATTTTTGTAAAATAAAATTTTATACTTAAAGCATTAAATGTAAATATTGACTCTTAAAAGCAGTTATGTCTATTTGCTTACACTTCATCGACTTTATAAAGATATCACGAAGTGAAAGTAATGACAAATATTTTGCCATGAACACAAGAGGCATTTTAGAGTGCTTTTGCCTTTATTTACACCTAAAAGATTTTGAATTGAAAAGTGATCAGGCTATGACCAGAATGTTTTCAGTATCTCACACAGCTGCAAAGCCTTAAAATGGAATTTATCTGTTTTGAGATGCTGACTACATAAATGTCGTCTGGTGAAGATGATTTGGCATGGAAGCAGGCAAGACAAATACATAATGATTGTATTCTAGCAGGATCAGCCTTAATCATATTATTCAATCATATTATTCAATTGGCTTGTCAATGTAAAGGAGAAATATAAGGAGTTCCACCTCTGTTTTTTAAGTACAAAAGGGACAAAGTGAGATCCTCCTAAGTATGTGTTGATATGTGGACTTCAGTATATATTCAGTTGAAACAGAAAAAAACCCAAGATATATAAAACTTAGAGATGAATTTCACACTGCTGAAACTCGTGGATAAAACAATTGCCCTCCATTTCATGTAAAAATTAGGAACCACTCCAAACAAAACGTAGACCATTGATCCTGTATCCTCTAGAATGCCTCATTTTCTTTCAGGAGAGCTCTGAGTCAGTTGACAGAGCCCATCTCTTTTTTCCCCCAGAAGGTGCCTTAACAAACTTGAGTTGAGAGCCAAAGAAGATTGCTGTTATCATCAGTTTCAATATTCTGTATGAACCGTAATCTTGCTCAGTTTCTCCGTTCTCCTAAGATATATAAGCTGAGTTCAGAAAATGCATGCGGGAAATGTAAAAGTGAATCTTATCAATCAGCTATCAAGAATATAAAAATAAAGGCCAGACTTTTCTGCTGACTCAAGTAGTTACTTCTCAGAGTGCAAAATATTAGAAGTGCTTATATTTCTAACCATCTGAACTATCATATATTATACGAACTTACATATTTGCTAAAATTTATGTCTATACATTCTGATGTGCAACAGGGTGCTATTGATATGAGACGGGGGAAAATGTTTAATTTTCATTTAAAGCTAGAGTCTGCCCTACTAATGCAAAAGTGTCCTACAGAATCATCCAGTGTATTATTTTCTGCTTTAAAGTTGGGAGCAATATCACTGGCATTTATTGATATGTTCATATATTCTTTTAATTTGTTGTGGTAAATTTAAAAATGCATGGAAGATATGTATTTGGGCAAATATTAAAAAGACAGATAGAGAGAGTATAGTCATGCATTCCCTGTTTCCATGCTACTTTTAAGTTTTCTAGTGGTTAATATTATAATGTCATTACTAAAGACCTCTAGGAATAGTGATGAAATGCATATCTAGGCTGTCTCTATAACAATTATTCAATTTAACTTATTTGAAAACTCACAGCACTGGGCTTCTTCACATTTGTTCTACTTTCAGTTGTATCGCTGAATAGAAAAAGAAGTAAATATATGGAAATTATTTTTCTGTGCTTCAACATTCACAGTTTGAATTAACTTTTTCTGTGGATGAGGTGGTTCTTGTCTTTTACATTTACTCCTAAGTAGATGTACATTTTACTCCTAAGTAAAATTACGTTTTACGGTTACTCCTAAGTAGCATTCTTCATTGCTTCACTGATAATCATAAGCAGAGTAGTCGAAGGTCTGATAAGTATTAAAATCAGATTGAATCTGTTGAGGGAATCAGATAAAGTTGTTTACACAATGAAATGTAGTCACTAGTATATGTTTCCAGACTTTAATTAGTCTCCTCAACCCCAGTGTGTATTCCTCTCTGCTAATTATGGATTTTTGTGTAAGAGGTGTTGAGAATGGAGTCAGGTTGTAGTGGCATATCCTACCTTCCTTTCACTATTCCTTGTCTAATTGCAGTTTCATAGGCAATGTTGTGATACCATAAATGGTGCTGTTCTACTCCAGGCTGAAAGGTTATAAGGCTCACTTAACCGTGGTTATTTGGGAAAGCATTCACCCTTTTTCATACTTTTTTATCTGAAAAATTACATAGTCTGTCATCGTCTCATTCTTGGTGAAGTTGGAAAATAAAATTATTTTGTTTTATATTTCATGTCACTGACTATAGTATGGAAGCACTTGCTTTTTTGAATGTTGCCTAATCCATTTCTGTGACTACTGTATGGTATGTGTTGTCTAATACGGATTTTTCTTTAAAACGTTGTATGTTTGGGGTTTTCTAATTATTTTTTTCCTTACTATTTGGTACTTGTTTTCTCTCTATATAAGTAGAAATATTTTTTTAAAATTTGTACTAATTTATGGTTTTCAGGTTTAATACACCTGAGGATACAGCCTGGTTTGAAAAAACTATTGATAAAACAATTGAGGAATATGTGGAGGCAGATTTAAGTGAAGTTCTCCAAGCTGAACCATATTTTGTAGATTTTTTACGGGATGAGCCTGAACCAACTGGTGAAGAACCAGAAGATGTTGAGCTTCTAGCACCAAAAATTTATGAGGAGGTATTTCACTTGATGCATCATCTAGGCACCAAAGTTTTCCTTTAATTATTAAGTGTATTATATTGCTGAACTCATACAATACAGGAAGTTTTGTTGAATAGCTACCACATTTCTTGTACAAATATATATAGATTTTCCTGGTTAGCATGCAATAAAGCATTTTAGTGATGTTAGATTCAATAATGATGCAAAAATATGGTCTATTTTTTCCTGTTCTCCTTGCTTTTTTCTTCCACCATTAGCAAAAAATGTCTGCTTAAACACAACTACAATAATTATGGTGAATTAGGAAGATAATATCATTACTCATGGCCAACACATAAAACTGAAGTTTGTGTAAAAATATCAGGGGAGTTTTGAAATTCTGAAGTGCCCTACTAGTGTTGTTACAGATTTTTGTTTGTTTTTTTTTTTTTTCAGATTCCAAGCTATGAATTCCTTTGTAACAAATTGCGGGCATATCAGTCACAATACAATGAAAATATTAGAGGGTCGTTTCTTGATTTGGTGTTTTTCAAGGATGCAATGACACATCTTATTAAGGTTTGGTATTACTCCTTTTTTATTTGTTTAATTTTTGTAACAATGTTCATTATTTGGACAAACTATTCTTAGAAGGCACATTGTGAAAAGCTGCTCTTAGCTCTAAACTGCTTTGCCATATTTGCATGTTCATTCTCGAGAATAGGAAAGAGCTACAGTCATTTTACCTGTTTGCATGTTTTATGATAAATTCCTCATTTAAATATCTGCTTAAACTTCTATGCATTTAGATAGATGAAGATTTTCCTCAATAGGAAAGGTGAGACCATAAATAAAGACATTTATATTATCTATATAATTTTTTTTTAAATCATTTAGAATTCAGAGAACATTTCAAATCTATCTGTACCTGAAGGGGGATAAAAACAACCTGAGGTAGAATCTGATTGTATGAGAGACATGAAAGGAAATATAAATTAAGGCTGCAATGGAATCAGTGTGTAGGGTAGAGTTTAGGGTAGTGTGTAGGTCTCAACTAACAATCATTTGTTCTACTGAGAAAGGAAAATATAAGAAAAGAATTCATCTGAAATCAAAATCAGATTCATGGGGATGAAATAAAGGCAAAGTATGAGATTTGTGTCTCACGTTTAAGAGGTGTTATCTCAGGAATTGCTTTGACTGGATTATCTGATTAACTGGATTATCTGCTTATCTGATTATTTCTATGTGTGAAGTTGCAGTGAAACAAAAACAGAAGAAGGTGTTTTGTTCTTCTCTAGTTGACCTCAAATGAAGTAAATGTTTGTTTGCTTTGCATTTAAACAGAAGTAAATAAATTTCTTTTTAAATATGGTTCACAGGATACTTAGGTGAATTTCAGAAGACTTTGAAAGCATTCAAACATTCTGACATTCTGTTTTTATTGGCAAGTTTTAGCCAGAGTATCCTCGATATGCAATTAGTAACAGCAGGGCTCCTTTCCGCCTAAAGTAACAATAAATCTAGTCACCCACATAATTCCATATTTAGACTTCTTTAATATAATTATCTGGATAGGCTCAGAGGGATGTGTGCAGTAAGCTAAAATTTTATAAAAGATAAAAATGAATATATTTCAAAGACATGTAGATGCCAATCTTTTGCATTTTGTGCATAGTTTACATGTGGATCAAAATAAAATGTAGAATCTTAAAAGTAATAGTGCACTACTGTATCATAAACCCAAAGAAGAGGTGTGTCAAAAAGCAATAGAATAGTAAATTTGTAATTCAGCTTTTGTGTCTGGAGACTTGGTAAGAAAACTATCATAAAAATAAATGTTGAAAGTAGATAGAGTAGAAGATAACATTAAAGCATAGTGTAATTGTGTTCAAGACTTTCAGACTACTAAAATTAGGAATACAGTATGTTTGTTCTTCTAGCTGAAGCTTTTTATTGATATTTTTAAACACATTCAAGATGATGTCTTCAAAATAAACTGGAGTTCAAAATGTCCCCTTTCATGTATTTAAATTCTATATGTAACTGATTATAGCCATCCTATATTATATGCAGCTTCTTCATTAGCCACACAAAATTACTAAAGAATTTACAAGTGTTCTTTGAGGAAAAATTTTCTGCAAGTATCCTTTTAATAATTTTTACATTGTATTATAGTAAATTAAGCATAAAGCATAATAGATTTTAAATTTTGCTAGTATTTGAATTTATTACTGATATTTTTCTTTATTATTTCCTCTATAGGTTTCCCGAATTATTCGGACAGCATATGGAAATGCTTTACTTGTTGGAGTTGGTGGTTCTGGAAAACAAAGTCTTTCAAAGTTAGCCTCCTTCATTGCTGGCTATAAAATATTTCAGATCACTTTAACCAGGTGAGAAGTGTAAGAAATATATAAATCACTTTTATGGTATTGCTTTGTCTTTACTTGGCCACAGATTTTTCTCCTTTTTTTCTTTTTCTTTATTTTCATCACCATTGGAAAAATACTGAAAACAATACACTCTAATCTGGTTTGTATACGACATTGGATTTATTTTGACTTGAAAAAGGTAAACTATGTGTTAGCTATTCCTGCACAAAAATATGTGTGTTTACAAAGTATTTTTGCAATGTCATTTATAAAATACTATAATCCAAAAAGAGTGGTATTCTGAGTTGTTTTGACTTGATAGGTAATGTTCCTTATCTCTCCTAGATCGTATAATGTAACCAACCTCTCAGAAGATTTAAAAGTATTATATAGAACAGCTGGGCAGGAAGGACAAGGTATCACCTTTATTTTCACTGATAATGAGATAAAAGAGGAATCATTTTTGGAATATGTAAATAATCTGCTTTCCTCAGGAGAGGTAAGAGTCTCAGCCTGACAGGCAATGTGTTCTAGAGGCAGGGTACTGTAGAATTTGTTCTCACTACTTTATTTATCTTGGTAATACATTGTAGAATCAATAATGATTAATATTTCAACTTCTTTAATAAGGAAGGCTCTGAAGATGTAGTTTCTTTATTTCAGTGTAAGCCAGGAGAATACAAAAAGAGCTGTAACTAGTATTTCAGTAGCCTTTTATTAAATTATGATTCTGTTGCCAGTCAAGTTCTATACTCTTCTGGAGTTAGACTTCTTAATTCCCAATGGAGTTTCATTAGTCTAAACCTGTGGTTTTTAGTCTAAACTGTGTGTATGCAGAGAGAGAGATACCGATGTAAACAGGCAAATATTATGCAATTAATTATCAATATTTTTATTTTATAAAAAGATTTCGAATTTATTTGCTCGGGATGAATTGGATGAAATCACCCAATCATTAGTGCCTGTGATGAAAAAAGAGCTGCCTCGGCATCCTCCTACCTTTGACAATCTTTATGAGTACTTCATAAGTCGGGCAAAGAAGAACTTACATGTTGTCCTCTGCTTTTCTCCAGTAAGTTTTTTTCTACATATCTGTCTTCCTTTCTTCCATTAGCAAACTTGCCTATGTGGTGTAAGAGAATTATTTAAGTTTTATATTTTTAAGGGAGCTCAAGATGCACAAAAAAGATTACTGAAATGTAGTTGTAATTGCCGAGAAAATAAAAGGAATAGTGCAGCTGTGAGAACTTAACAGCAAAATACTTAAACATTAAATAATTTCTTACAAGTTAAATTGTTTTTATTTTTTTATCTTATATATTCTTTCCTAATACACATCAGTGAATGTATTTTTGTGAAATTATGGCTTTTAACTGGAAAATAGTATTTTATTAGTAATTAAAATACTTTATTTGATGCTTCAAAACATTAAAACCATATATATTTGTAATGAACTTCTTTCTTCAAATTTCATGAATGTAGAAAGTCAGAAATTTCACAAAACTCTATTTGAGGAGAAAAAAATTTCAGGGTTCTAAGCAGAGAATGAGCAAGAAGAAAATAGACTATTTAATTGTTTATGCTAATTAAAGACTTTCCTTGACTTTTGCTTAGGAATCACGTTGCTAACAAACAGTGACTCTCTCTCCAGGTTGGTGAGAAGTTCCGTGCACGTTCTTTGAAGTTTCCTGGTCTGATATCAGGGTGCACCATGGATTGGTTCAGTCGATGGCCCAGGGAAGCTCTTGTAGCTGTGTCCAACTATTTTCTTTCAGAATTTAATATGGTCTGCGCTCCAGCAGTTAAAACAGAAATAGTACAAACCATGGGTGTCTTTCATGATATAGTTTCAGAAAGCTGTGAGAATTATTTCCAAAGGTAATATTTTCTATGAATGCAATAATTAATCTCAAAAATGTTGCTACTGACAGTGTTTTTTGAAATCATGTTGTATGTACCAATAAATGGATTTTAAATAAATACAAAAATAAATCTGCTATAGCATTATATCCTCAGGCCATGAAAAAGAATTGCTATTATGTTGCAAATTCTTCATCTTCATTCCCACTGTTCAACAGTCTTTAATATTGTCTATGTGGACAAAAACAATGTAACTAAAAGTATAAGGGTTTGCATCATGAAGAAATCTGATTTTGAAAGAATAAAAACTTGAGTTATATTATTTTCTCTTTTTTTGGAAGTGATCAAAAGCTGTATATATCAAAAATACGTGTGAAGTTGATGTTGCCAATTACGCTTTGGTTTAGGTATCGAAGACGAGCCTATGTAACACCAAAATCCTATCTCTCCTTCATCAATGGCTACAAAGAGGTTTACACTGAGAAGTTACATAGCATCAATGAACAGGCTGAACGTATGCAAACTGGTAAGCAAATGCATTCCATGTATGGTCTCAAATGATCTTTTTTTTTTAATCTTAGACTTCTTTCTCAGTGATCACTTATAGGGCATCACAGTCCAAAAGTGGTAGCATATCAGGACCTTTACCAGACACTCCCCCAGTCACAACCTCACAGTGATTCTCTTGTAAAAATATCTCAAAGAAGATACCAGCCTAACCATTCCCCTCAGCATTGTATTAAACTTTAATATTTGCAAATCAGAATTTGTAATAGCAAGTAGAGCCTGAAAATGGGCAAAGGTAACATCTAATTTACTGGTGTAGAGAGAGATAGTTCTAAACAGTTATTAACTTGCTTCTGGACTTGTCTGTGGAAGTTCTCACCATGCAATCTGTGTGCTTCACATGTGATTTAGTTTGCATTTCTGCTGTAGAATAAGTAGTTGTTACTTGGGGTCATTTTATAACTGTGGATATGAAATACAGAAAAGTACGGTTGAAATATTCTTCAGACAGATTTTGGATATCTGTTTGAAATGGCCTAATTTTTGGCATAATATTTAATGGTTTCAGAACACCAGTTTTCTAGTGTTTTGAGTTTTCTCCAGTTTGCATCTATACATGCTTTTGTAAATCTATGAAGTCAATTGAGCACCGTAGGAAACCTTGACTTAATCAAAAAAGATGTTGCATATAAATTCAATGGAATAAAGTAATCTACATTATAAGATTTTCCATACACAGGTAAAGAATGTGGCAGTTTAACAATGATTAATAATAGAAGAGGTACCCTTCACGTGAAGAAAAGACTAGAATAAGAATGCATAACTATCTTATTCATAAACTCTTTACTGAGTTAGAGTGAGCTGTAGAGGAGTAAGTGATTCTCAGTATTTTCAAATTGTGTACGTTTTGCTCTATGGATCTGTTGCCAGTTCTTGAAGAACTTATCCTCAGTCTACTTTGAGATGGTGACAAAGTCTGACAACCTTGAAGATTTAAGTGGGTGGGGTTGGTTTATGTTTTCTGGGTATTCTTTCTCCATTTTTAAATTTCCAAAATAATTTAAAAGTACTAACATAAGCAGCTTCAGCACTGTCAATAAAATTTCATATGTAGATTTTCATAGCCTCTGACATGTTATTAAAGTTCCTTGCATGTTCTGCTGAACAAAATGATTGGGTACGTGAATAGTAGACACAATCATGATAGTATGACTGCATACAGACACTTTCTCTCCTTTGCATAAAATGGAATGAGAACACAAGGATATGTGAGATCTGGACCTAGACTGTGTAATCTAACTAGGGAAAAAAAAGTTTCTATATTTCTGAATTTTATCTTTTACTTAATAGGTCTGTCCAAGCTGATGGAAGCCAGTGAATCTGTTGCTAAACTCTCTAAGGACTTGGCTATTAAGGAGAAAGAGCTGGCTGTGACATCTGTTAAGGCAGATAAAGTAAGTGTTAAATACCACTAGAATATACAGCAGGTAAAATGCTATTGCAGAATTTTATCATAATTTGCAAAAATTTGCCTTATCTAAAATGAGGTTTTACACTCTCCATAGTGTGTTATTCAGAATTTGCTTCTGAAAGTGAGGCACTTTTAGACTGCAACAGAGGTTGAGCACTTTCCTTGTTCTTCTCCCATTTCTTACCCACTCAGATAAGCAACAGATCTAGTTTTTTTCCATAGCTTTTTTTAAACTTGGGCTTAATTGACATTATTAAATTTAGAATTATATGTGCACTTACTAGCAGAGAAAAAGTTAATGTGATAATGGGACTTTTCTGTTTCAAAATTCCTTAGAAGACTGTTGATCGTAGTTCAGTTTCAGATTTTGTCTTTTACATTAACAATCTCTGTGTTCATGAGATTTGTGATCTGGTAGAAATCTAGTTTCCAAAATGACTCTCTGGAAAGATATGCCAGGGAATGGATCAGTACAGACATTCTGTTTTCTGAAAGATCCCATAATGCTCTGACGATAAATATTTAATATGCACTGGAGAGTGAAGTTTGGCTGGTGATGACTAAGGGACTGCCTGCATTCTTTGAGGCCTTTAATCTCATAAGAGAGAAATAGACAAAAATGACAGAAAAGGATGAAGTTGAACTTCTCACATTTAATTTTTTAATAGTTATATGATATAGTATATAATTAGTTGTAATTGGGGTAAGATTTATATATTTAATATACTGTTTTATCCTGTGTCTCACAATCATTCATTCCACCATTTTGATTTATAGATTTTATGTGTTTATTATCAATTCCAGGTACTAGAAGAAGTCAAAGAAAGTGCTGAAGCTGCAACCAAAATAAAACTTGAAGTCCAGGGTGTGAAAGATAAAGCACAAAAGATCGTGGATGCAATTGATATAGAAAAACAGGAAGCAGAGAGAAAACTGGAGGCAGCTAAACCAGCCCTAGAAGAAGCAGAAGAAGCTCTGAAAGTGAATAAATTTCATTTTTATTAGTATAGTATTATTTGCATCACCTGTGAGAGGCCAGATCCACCAGACACAGCTGTCTCTTGGTATTGGCTGCTGTCACCAGCTCCTCACTGTTGCTGGCCACGTCTCTCATGAATACTTAGGTTCACACATATTTTTAAAACACATAGGGACTATTTTATAGTATATTTTTCCTTCTATCCCAATATTTGATCATTATGAAAGTGTAGATCTTTCAAGAAACTACAGATGCCTTTAGAATATATGCTCTTCTGAATTCAAGAGAATACTTCTTGTGCTAACAGAATGTTGTTAATTCAAACTTAAGTAGTTACACCTGTCTTTTAAGACAAAAATCTATCTCTTTCTTCACCAGAAATCCTAATGCTTTTAATTTTAAGAAAAACAGGAAACAAAGGAGATTCAGGGCAATCAGAATCAGGATTCAGAAATTTGGAGGCATTACTGTGCTAAATAATTTCAATATTCTGCTCTGAACATTTAAACAGTAAAAACCTGAAATCAGAAATCAATGATGGCCTTCCATTCCAGTTATCAGAATTTATGTGACAGAAGTTCTTAAGCAGAAAAAGCAAAAAAAGGAGCATTGTTTGCTCTTACACTGACATTTAGATAATGAGATAAATGAAACTTCCAAAAATGCTCATAAAATTCACTTTCAAAATATGTGGACTTAGAAAATGGTTTCTATAAGATACCTGTAACTGCTCCTTCTAGACAGGTAGTGGTATGTGTATATTTTTAGACACAAATAAATGTTAGGTTTGAAGTTTTAAATATTTTTTTAAATTTTGTAATGATTGTTGACCTAAGCAAAGTGTCAGTGACAGTGATGGTGTTAGAAAATGAAGTTAAAAATTATATCTCACACCTATAGTAACTTAAACTGAACAAAAATAACCAAATCCATCTCAGAATAAACTTGACTGCTAAAAATCTGAAATTGTTTTATCAAGCTTACTACTTTTAATTAGTCTTATTACAATTTTGCAGTAATGTTTCTTTAGTTACTTAGACTGACAATTCAAGTCAATGCTGCTGTATGTAAATTTGATTTTTGAATTATGTCTTTAATATTGGGAAGATATTCTTGTCTAATATTCATTGAAATTGCTAAAGTTTCACAAAACTATTAAATTTATTAATTAGGCCAGGTTTCTCACTTTTTTTGGTATATACTTAATATAAATGCACTTCAGAGAAAAGTATTACAAATGAACATGAAAATCAAGATATTGAATGGGAAAATAGAATAATGGTATTGATGCAGATTTCTATTCCATCCTTCTTCAAACAGACCATCAAACCAGAGGATATTGCTACTGTTAGGAAACTTGCAAAACCTCCTCACCTCATTATGAGGATCATGGACTGTTGTCTGCTACTATTTCAAAAGAGATTGGATCAAGTTACCATGGATCCAGAAAAGCCTTGCTGCAAGCCATCATGGGGAGAATCATTAAAAGTGAGTAGAGTTTTCAAACAGTGTTTCTTAAACGTTGGAATTAGCAATTAGCTTATCAGGGAACTTATGATGCTGTTTATCCAACACACGACAGAATTTTGTTAAAAGGCAAACATACTGTTTTAAGAAAAACTCTATCTATACACTATGTCTAACTGGTAGAAATAGTAGGTGAATTGGTTAGAAACTTCTCCAGCAGAAGCTTTAGAGTTTCCTGGCACATGGCCTGATGGTAACAGATAAAAAATAGTGCTCTTGCTTTTTATTTAGGCTTTTACAGTTATAAAAATCATCAAAAACTTTTGTTTTCCATTGATATAATAAAATGAGACAAGCAGTTATTCCATGAATTGCTTTTAGCATGCAAAGCATTTGTTAGAAAAAATTAAACCAAATTATTTCACTTTTCAGAATTTAGATAATATTTCACAAATGCCTAAGCATTTCTTTTTGCATTCAGTTAAGTTACAAATACATCCTTGAGTCTTTATTGTGGTCAATTTTTTTTTTATTTAATGATGCTTCTGAAATGCTCTGAAATGTAACACAGGAATGTAGAAGATGGAAAGTACACCAGTAACTTTCAACTCTAGTTACTGGAGTGTAATTGGTTAAAACTTCAAAATAATAGGTGTGTAGGAGGAGTTACAACTGAATAGCACATTATAACATTAGCAATATAAATGCCCTCTCTTTACAAAAGAATTTTAGGAATGCTTTTTAACAGCTTCACCCAGGAACAAGACTTTGATCCTACAATGTGTAAATAACTCATGTGCTGTTTTTTGAAGCTGATGAGTGGCCCGTTCTTGAACAACCTACGGAACTTTGCCAGGGATACAATCAATGATGAGACAGTAGAATTGGTCCAGCCTTACTTTGAAATGGAAGACTATACACTGCAACATGGTAAAAAGGTGTGTGGCAATGTGGCAGGACTCCTCTCTTGGACACAAGCCATGGTGGTGTTTTATGGTGTTAACAGAGAAGTCTTGCCTCTTAAGGTAATACATCCTCTCTTGCTTTTTGTTTGCTTACCAAGTAATTGAATTTAGTTTAATTTAATATGCTCTTACAAATATTTATATATATACATAACTTTATTCAGACATAATAGCCTGTGACGTCACTGGTTAAAGATGGTAGGAGCAGAAACAGACCTATTTTCCTCTTGATTCTAGAGAGAACACAGAACAAAAAATTAGCCTAGATTAAATATATCTGGTGATCTGGTTTACTGTGTATAGGGAAAGGTGTTTTCTGTTTGTTTTTTTTTTTTTCTTTTAATAATGTTATAATTTATAATTATTTTCAAAATGTTGTACCAGGATCTTCATTCCTTCTCTAAAGAGTCCTGCAAACAGAGGTTTGCTGCTATTTTAGGTTCTTTGTTTTCTCCTGGCAACTTAGAGGCAGTGGAGGACTGATAGCTTGCCTAAGTATTGGCTTTCTAAAGAGGTTCAGAGCTCACATCAATAAAGGAGCTTTGTTGCAATAGTAGGAAGCAAAATAAGGAAAATGTTTTTAAGAGTAAATTTTTGCTTTAGTGGGGGTATTCTTTTTCAGGTTCATGAAACTCAAAAACAGTGATTTTTTTTTTTCTTCTAATCAAAGTATTTAATCCTTAAATGTAGCATACTAAAACACAAGATAATAAAAAGGGTGAGCACATGGGAAACCCAAAATTTTTCAGATTTTTGTCACTGGTAGAAGTGTTATTTACAGAAGCAACAGTAATACAGATGAATGATTTTTTAAAAAATTGATTAATTTCTTGTCATCACCATAAATATAATTTTAGGAGCAATAGGAAGAGTCACTGTTTTAGGACCATTTTGTAGTGGGTAAAAGCAATATTGTTAGATGATAAAGGACCAATGTCTCATTGTGATTGCTGGTCAAAATTCACTAATTAAAAATAAAAATAAAATTCAGTAAAAAAAAAAAAGAGGAAATGAGTATAGTCAAAACATATAGTCAAGAAGAATATTGAGTAATTGTTCTTCTAGTCTGACCAATGTGTACAGACAAGAAACCTTATTTCCTTAACCAGCTTCTTGAAATGTAACTTCTTTTTAAAGGAATAAAGTTGACAATATATACTAGAACTTTAGGTACTGTTAAAGTACTAGTACTTCAGGTATTGTTATTGAACAAAAAAATACCTTCAGTATACATGTGATATAGTTTTCAGCTTAAATGTTTTTGATTTTTATATAAAAGTTACTTTGATGTATTATGGTCTTGTGATTACCAGCTAAGTGGACTTAAATAGTTCATTCAATTATATTGAAATCTTATATATGATTGTGCTTTTAATTTTTTTTTCTCCTTTGCAGGCTAACCTGGCAAAGCAAGAAGGTCGCCTGAAAATAGCCAATGCAGAAAAAGATAAGGCTCAGGCAGAATTAGATGAAAAGCAAGCTGAGCTGGATAAAGTGCAGGCAAAGTTTGATGCAGCAATGAAGGAGAAAATGGTGAGATAAAAGTATTTTAGTCTTATCAAAAATGCTTGTACAATATTTCCATGTAATTAGGACTTGATGCAAACACACATTTACCTGCTACCTTGAATAACATAGCTGAGATTCAGTTATAAAAGTAAGAGATTTAAGCCTATATCCTCTCCTATTCCCCCTCTTTCTGTGAATAGGAACATATTAGACACCTTTAAATGTCCTCAAGAATGAATTTTAAACAAAATAGTTATAATAAATATAAAAAGATGAAAATTATATAAAATAACTCCACATTTTTGGATTCTATGATTAAGTATGACATTTTTTTCAATTTTAGGACTTAGAGAATGATGCAGAAACATGCAAAAGAAAGATGCAAGCGGCCTCTGCACTTATAGATGGACTGAGTGGAGAGAAGGTTAGGTGGACTCAGCAAAGCAAGGAATTTAAATCTCAGATTAAGAGGTATCAAATCCATTACATGAAAACAAAATAGAAAATGCTTGTAAAACCTGAAGTGTTAGTAAACAATTTAGTAGCTTTAATTGTGGTACTTAATTTTCTTCCTGGAAATCTTAATATAGCAATGCAATCAAATGAACTATCCTGAAATTTGAATTTTCCTTCCATAAGTAAGAATCCATGGATGCTGAGTGCTAGTATTTCGGTTAAGTACAATACCTCTGATTTTGGAATTAGCTTCCAAAGAGGTTATTACTAGGGCTGTTGTGTGCCTGTATTACAGCTGCTTCTGCAGCACTCCTAATACTGCACCTTGTTCTGATGTCACTGGGGAAGTGAAACCTTCAGATAGCTTAGCTTCTGAAGAACACCCATTTTACTATAAATTTCCTATGGGGAAATAGGGCATTTCTGGTGAGAGTTTCAATAGAACTAGGTTTGTATCCTTGATAAATATTGTATTTCAAATATCTTTTTAAGAAATAAACAATTTTCTTGCTTCATTTAGAAAAGAAGGAATAGTTCTCATCAGGGCTTTATTGCTTTGTTAGGGGTGGAGACACTGTTTTCATAAAATACTACTCTTAAGTTTTGCCACAAAAATGCTCTGGAAACATACTTTTTTTTTCTTGAAATCTTATGTTTCAAAAGCTGGTTGTGTAAGTCATTAGAAATTGAGTTTGTGCATCACCTTTTAATGATGCTTTTTCTTCATTTTCTAGACTTGTGGGAGATATATTGCTCTGCACAGGCTTTCTTTCGTACTGCGGACCTTTTAATCAAGACTTCAGGAACCTTCTGATTAAAGACTTATGGGAAGCAGAGTTGAGAGCTCATAAAATCCCCTTTTCTGATGATTTGAACCTGATTTCTATGTTGGTAGATCAACCAACAGTAAGTTCTTGGTGCTTGGAAGATTTAATTTGAATTTCCATTAGCATATTCTTTGACTGTTAACCAGCATTATGCTTGCTTAGAGAAGAACTGTAATCCCCAATATTCCAAATATTGCTGTGCTGTGTACTTCTGTGGTTTCCAAATGCTCTTGGCAATTTCCAATAAATCTTGGTGTAGGAATAGTAACAAAACCCAAGAGAAGCAAGTGATGCACAGTAGAATTTCTCACCACCTGCTGACCAATACCCAGTCAATCCCTGAACCATGATCAAACCTCTTCTGAGTAACTCCCCCAGTTTATATAGTGGGCATGGCATTCCATGGGATGGAATATCCCTTTGGCCAGTTCAGATCAGCTGTCCTGGCCATGCTCCCTCCCAGCTTTTTGTGTACCTGCCCACCAGTGGAGCACAGGTCGCTGAAAATTCCTGGATTTCTGGTAAGCACTACTGAGCAACAGCAAAAATATCAGTGTGCCAGCATCATTCTCACACTGAATTAGAAAAACACAGCATTATACCATCTACTAAGAAGAACTTTCTTTCAGCCAAAACCAGGGCATTTCTAAAACAGTGGGTTTGGTTGTAGTTTAGAATAGAGTGCATAAAGTCCTTTTATTCAATGTGAATGTATAAGAAATGGGCAAAGAGTGGGAAATGCCAGAATCTTTGTTTCCTTCAGCAAACATTAATTCCCAAAACCTCTCTTAAACTGGTTTTTTGCTAAATTGATCCCAATGTTTTATTTGTCTTTCAAGTTGTCTTTTGACATCCTTACACTTTAAAATATAATTTTTGTTATTCTACATAGTTAAAAAATCCATAAAAATAAGATTCTGAAATATTTTTACACCTGCATTAATAATTCTTCAGTGGGTTCAAATATGCATTCCCTTTGATGTCCCTGTTATATCTTAGAAAAAATTTTATTGAAGAAAAATTCCAGTGCTCATTTATTCCAAACTACTCTTTTTCTTCATCTCTTTTTTTTTCTTTTTTCTTTAGATTAGTGAGTGGAATCTTCAAGGATTGCCTGGAGATCACCTCTCAATTCAGAATGGTATCATCGTCACTAAGGCATCGAGATACCCACTTTTGGTAGACCCACAAACTCAAGGAAAAGCGTGGGTTAAAAATAAAGAGCAAGAAAATGAATTACAGGTAAACAGTGTCTTAAAGGAATGGTGTGCTCTATTCTACACCTTCAAACATTAGTGCTTTCGAGGGAGGTTGCATTTGAGTCACTGTGATCTGAGATAATTTTAACGTGTATGGAGACTGACAATTGTGTAGATGCATCAGCAGAGAACTTGAGAACAGCTGTAAATCCCACTCAAGGGCCTGGAAAAGACTATCCAACTTGTATGAAATCTAGCAAAAAGTATAAAAGTATTTTGCTCAAGATGGGTGAGTATGGTCCCAACACAAAAAAAGACAAAGAGGTGATAAATAAAGAAAAAGAGTGTAATATGAAATTATTAAATGAAAGTAAATTGGGTGACTGTTAGCAACGTTACAGATAAATATAGAATAAGTTACAGCTCTGAAAATGTAGGCAAAGTGCCTCAAGTGTTGCAGTTCATAATTTAGGACCGAAGAGAGTATTCATAATGAGGCTGTCACTACAAAAGGAAGTTGAGGAAATCTAGCTGAAGCCAAACCCATGAAAAAATTGCGTATCCTAATATTACTGCAATCCTCATAACTCTTTTACAGGTTAGGCCAATAGGGTAAAATGCCTGCTTATAAAATATAATATAAAGATGTTCATGTGTTACCATTTGCATCACAAATTATTTTTTCCCAAATGATGTGGCAAGGCGAAAGGAAACTGCATTTTAAAACCCTTAGCCTGAATATTGAGAAAACTCCTATGTCCTGAATATCAATGAATTTTGGAGGGTTTAAAATTAGTTAATTATATTGCTTACTACTTTATGCATGTTTTTCAATGATTTCATATTGTATGAATCCCATTTCATGAAATATCAATCTGAATTAATAATATTGTAGCAGTGATTCATCTTTTAGACTGAGTTCAGATTTCCAGAAAGAATTTCTCAGCACTTCAAAGCTAAAATGACAAAATCTAGTCCTTCTAGGACATAGAACAGAAAATTAAAGGCTAGGTGTCTCTGATTTCTAAAATATACATAACATCTTTAATATGCAATAAGCTGTACCAGTTTTATTTAGTACATTATTACTCTCCTGATGAAGTTCTGAGGATTCAGTTACAGCCAACCATTTAATTCATTTTTTTATAGTACTTTTCATTGTACACGTATAAGTATTTCTGCATAAATTTCTGCATGGTCAACATTTATAGCATCTTCTTTAAAATGCAATTAACTAAATGAAAAAGCTTTCTATGGTTAGATCTGTGGTTTTCATGTAAGACTGTGAGAAAATACTTTGTCCTTACACCAATTTGTTATTTACTTTTTGAGGTAACAACTCTGAATGACAAGTATTTCCGACAACACCTAGAAGACAGTCTTTCACTGGGACGATCACTCCTGATTGAAGATATAGAGGAAGAGTTGGATCCAGTCCTTGATAATGTATTAGAAAAAAATTTCATAAAATCTGGATCTGCTTTTAAGGTTAGTAATCAAATAAAAGAAGTGGAATAAGTAGTTAGCTTTGAGACAAATGTTATTTTACCATTGTTCCAAACACCTGCTGAATGAGGTAAACTTTGTATTCAGTAGAGACTTGTAAAGAATCAAACTGAACTAATAAAATATAACAGACAGAGCCTCAGCTGTGTAGCAAGTTGGCAAGTCTAAACTGTGAATTTAACCACCAGAGTTATTACTGATGATTCCAAACTGGAACCAATTATGCTTATCCAATTAAATGCTTTAAATTCTTTCTACTGATTTTCAAGCAGTGCAAACATGCTTAAGGGAGTGGTTTGGTCCTACTCCTTCATAAGCCAGGTATTTGAAGCCACCTTGGAGACTCATATGTTGGAGCCTCTTATGCCCCCCACTGCTCCATGGCAGATGATCTTTAAGGTGCCTTCCAGCACCAACAATTCCCTGATTCATACTACAACATACAGTGACCAGATTTCCTTGTGCACATGCAGCTTTTGAGTTAGACTGCTGTTCTGGAATATCTTAATGCTATAAAAATTTCTTTTGAATACTCTGAATAAATTTTTTATTTCTTTGGAAAGATTCTTTGAAACCTGCTTAGTATAAAGATAAAATTTATGTCCAGTAATTTCTGTTCCATTGTCAGATCACATAATTCCTTTTATCTTGGACTTAAGAGAATGATGATTTCTACAAAGGTCAGCAGTTTCTACTACCTCTTCATTTGAGGTGTGATTAGAAACCAAATGGTTCTGACGCTGTTAATCATAATCCACAGTGGAAGTGATTCCTGTATTTAGCTGGAGGGAAATGCTACTTTTATAACATACTCTAACTTCTAAATTTGGTCATTGACTTTTATTATCATGAGAAATTTGAATTGTGAAATAAATTTCCTCTTTTTGGCATTTCAAATAATGTAAACTTATTTTCTGCTCAGTATTACTGAGTTTAATAAAGCTCATTTTCCTCTGCTTAATACTATTTTAACTTAATCCACAGGTGAAAGTTGGTGATAAGGAAGTAGATGTTATGAATTCATTTAGACTGTACATTACTACAAAGCTACCTAATCCTGCTTTCACACCTGAAATTAATGCAAAAACATCAATTATTGATTTTACTGTTACAATGAAAGGACTTGAGAATCAGTTGCTGAGAAGAGTAATACTCACTGAAAAACAGGTAAGTTAACAATACACATAAATCATAGTGATATTTAATTTTTTTCCATTCAATTGGTTTTGGTATGTAGAAAAGAAATGCTCAATATTAGTCATTTTCCAAAATTATATTCAGATTCAGTATAGACATTTCCAAATATCAAAAATACATTGGGAGGCTCTTAATATATATATGACTGTCACAATTACTCACCAGGATTTGACATTGATAAGATATATCATAAGATACTGAATAAACACTGCTTAAAACCATTTGTTATTAAAAACATGTTTTAGATACCAAGAAAAGTAAAATGCACATTTCATGACTGGATCCAACTCTTCACCTCTATCTTCAATCATAATTGATTCACTTGAAAAATCAGAAACTGAATTTTAAGTATCCCTCAGTTGCAACCCATAAAATGTCATGCCATTTTCTTGGTTTTTTAATAACAGGAACTAGAAGCAGAACGAATTAAACTCATGGAAGATGTAACTTCTAATAAGAGGAAGATGAAAGAACTGGAAGACAATCTTCTTTACAAACTAAGTGCAACCAAAGGTTCTGTATCAAAGTATTAATCAGATTAGGCAGATAAAACTGATCACATCAGGTCCTTTCCTTACAGATTTTGATTTATCCACCTAAGATACAACAAGAGAATGTACAATGGCAGGAGTGTAAGGACTGTGAGGGATTTGGTGCTATAGCATGCCACTATATGCAACTCTAGGCACTTAAGGTTAACACCTAAACAAGTTTTGTGAAATACATCCATTTTTTTGGAGACAAGATAAGGTATCTGACCACGGCAAAATCTTTAATCCATTGAAAATATAAATTGGAATGGCCCGGCTTAAAATTGTCGTGAAACTCTTCTGCAGTACATGATAAGCCTGAACATGATCACTTACTATCTCTGGTGCAAAAAGAATCTAATAACAGAAAATCCATGAGTAACTGCTGGAGATTCATGAATATTGTTGAGTGATCTTAGGTCCCTTAGGACCCCAAGTCTATTTTACTTTTTTATTTTGAGAGTGCCAATGACTTCAAAGTAATTTAAGTAATTTGTTGACTATGTGGGTTGTGTGCATAAGATAGGTGACTTCTCTAGTATGTCTTGCAAAGCTGTTGGTATAAATACATTTAACATATTTTGAATCAATTTGCTTAAATATGTTGTATGTAAAAATAATGTAAAAATAATTTTTAGTATTACATATCCTGTTTGGTCTCTATTTTAGAAACTTTCTGTTATTCGGTAAATAGTTTCATTTTTTAAATAAATAATTTCTGTAACTTGGTCTTTTGTTTTATACATATATATGAAGTGAAAATATCATTTCAAAAATGTCCTAAACATCCAGTATTTGACTTTTCAGGTTCACTAGTGGATGATGAATCCTTAATTGGTGTCCTGCAAATAACTAAGCAAACAGCTGCTGAAATAGCTGTCAAGTTGTCTGTGGCAGCAGAAACTGAAGTGAAGATTAACACTGCTCAGGAGGAATATCGACCTGTTGCTACACGTGGAAGCATTCTTTATTTCCTTCTTACAGCAATGAGCATGGTCAATAATATGTATCAAACTTCACTGGCTCAGTTCTTGAAGCTATTTGATCAATCCATAGCCAGGTAGGAAGACAGATTTTTCCTACTATTGAGATGTTTGCCTTTCCAATGTATTTGCTCATATTAATGTGGTTTCTTTGTGCTTTGTTTTCATGATTTAGATCTAAGAAGTCTCCTGTGGCTCAGAAGAGAATCTCAAATATTATTGAGCATCTTACCTTTGAAATTCACTCATATTCTGTTAGAGGCCTGTATGAAAACCACAAATTCCTCTTTACCCTCCTCCTGGCTTTAAAAATTGATATTGAGAGAGGACATGTGGAAAACAGAGAGTTCCAAACTCTCATTAGAGGTACGTTTTAAAAATTGTGTTGAGTGTACAGCTAATTCAACTTTTTAAACTTTTATGCCATTTCAAAGTCTTATTTCTTTGTCTACATGGTTTCTATCAACATTTCTGTGGGAACTGAGCTTGTTCAGCTTGGCAAAGGGAAGCCTTAGAGGAAATCCAATAGTAACCTTCCAAAACCTGTGAGAAGGCCATTAAAAAGGCTAAGTTATCCTTTGGTATGAAATAAATGCTAAGTACACAAGAGTACAGTTAGTATCCCTGAGAAATTTATTTAGGTCAAAATACACAATTTAAGAAGAAATAACAATTATATCTTGGCCCCTGGGATATAATGTATTTAATCAGAAAGTACATTTCATCCTGTTTTTTTGTCTACAGGAGGTGCAGCTTTGGATCTACAGGCTTGCCCACCCAAACCATGCCGCTGGATTCTTGACATGGTATGGCTAAATCTAGTGGAGTTGAACAAACTTCCACAGTTTGAAGAAATTTTGGACCAGGTGATATTTTTTAATTATCTTTTTAATGTTAATAGCCAGTTTTGTCATCATAATTGTGTTTCAACAAAAATACAGAATAACATTATAGAGACAGACAAATAGGTAGCATGAATGGTGGTGTGTGTTTTTATCTGCTTTGTGGTATTTGGTATTACAGTAATTGAGGTAGAAAAAGGAGAGAAGGAACAGGAGTGAAGGAAAAAGGAGGTCACTAAAAGAGAGGCTAAAAAGGTAGAGGTATCAAAAAGGCTCATAAAATTACTGAGTGTTAGGTTTTAAATTACAGTGTTGTCTGTCTTGATTCTGGTGTATTTTTACAAATGAATGGGTTGCTGCTTGTTTTTAAATACTCATTTCCATTCCAAGGTTCATGTGCCATTCAGATGTGATGAGCTGACTATGAATTGTTTTATATAGACACACATGAACTTACATGCCCATAAGCTTGTGCCATGTTCAATTTGATAAATTTATTTTTCTTTTTCATTGTGGTTAAACCACTCTCTAATCATTTCTTGTATCTAAGCACTCCTTGTTAATCAGGCTGATAGCCAGGACAGAAACTTTTCCTTGCTGTTACAGCACTGGCCAGCCAAGTCCATTTGGTGATAGCACATATTGCCCTGGAGGGTAGCAGACATTTTAGCTAAATGTTACCTGCAAGTGGTCCTGGCTGTTTCTAAACCCTATATCAAGGCAAGAGTTGGATACATACCAGCCCAATTCTTCCAGTTTTTGGTTTATTGAGGTATCAAAATAGAATATTAAGTTAGGAGAAAGTTGGAGAAGCTTTAGTTAGGTTATTCACTCTGGGTTGTTAGGGCACCAAAACCCTATTTCTAGAAATAGGATCCTATTTCTATCCTATTTCTAGAATAAGGTCCTCTCACCAGGGCTTCTGGAATGTGTGGAAACAAAATTTTAGACTCTAGAAAATGTAGAAATACTTAGATGACCATGTTGCCACAAAACCTCTCCTATTAAAATTCATTTGTTTGCACTGCCTTACTTTTGCCATGTAGTTGCAAAATTAAAAAGTGACAAAATTATTTCAGTAATAGATGGAAATGGAATATGGGAGGGTGCTGAGTAGGATATCAATTAAAAATGCAAATATTTTAAAAACATCTTTTTAATACTTATTTTTATCCATTAGAAATGCTGTTCTATTTGAGTAATCATATTAAATATAAGTGTATCATTATTTATTTAGATGAAATATTTAAAATGACCAAAAAAGGACTGAGAATGGTATGCCCAGATCTCAAGAAGTTTCCTGTGCTTTTCTTTTTTCATGCTAGTTTCAATGTGCTTTTCTCCTCTGAAAAATAAGTGCCAGATGCCTAATGTAACATAGACATCGTCTGCTTTAAACTTTTATCAGTGCATTTCTAGTTCTTTTTCCAGTGATCTGAGAATATTGCAGTAGCTGATCCTCAGTCACTGTGTTAAAGGCTCAGTTGTATTTTCACTATGTTCTGTCCGCTGGTATTCCTTATCCTATTATGTCAGGGGTCCTGAGAGGTGCCTAAAATTGTCATCATATTTGTGGTCAGGTTTGTTCTTTCTCAAGTCAAAAGCTTACTAGAATCTGTTACTTTTAATTAGTGATTCACTGGCTGGCTAGACTGTACTGGGACAGATTTTTCTGGTCCTGTTCATATTTTGTGACCAAAAGGAATTATTTAATCAATCACAGGGTGCTCCTCTTGTAGTGTAGAATTCTCCTGCTACTTACTGACTTTTTTTAAGTAGATGCATGTGTTTGGGAGGGGAGTGCATAGATAACTAATTGGATTGAGAGCCTGCATCTTAACGATTGCAGCAATTGAATGAATATTATTTGTGATATTTTAATAACAATTCACATGGCATACGTCTTAAATGCTATAGGCAATGTTACTTGTAATATATCCTAATATAATAATGGCCTCTCATTAAAAGCTACATTTGCAAGGGGATTTTACTGCAACTGAAATATAATTTTTTTGTGTTAATGGAATAAATTTAGATAGCCCAACATGATAAGGCATGGAAACACTGGTTTGATAAAGATGCCCCTGAGGAAGAAATTATTCCTAATGGATACAGTGAGATACTTGACACATTTCGCAAACTTTTACTTATCAGGTGAGCATCTTCACAAATATTGGGAAATTACACAGTTGGAGCACATCTCAAACTATCAATATGCTATTATCATAATAGTGTAATTTTAGTTATCTCGGGGTGACAGTAAATATTAATTCATTCACATGAAATATGTTGTTATTCCATTACCTCAGAGTTATCTTCTACTGTCTAAAGATATTTATAAAAAATATTCTTTATAACTTTGCTTTTATGTCAGGAGAAATGGAAACTGGGAAGCCCATGAAAAAGTAAAATATTCCAGATAATTTTCAATTTAAAAAAATTTCTTTAAAATCAACTATTTTAAATAGTTTTAAACAAGTACTTAAAAATATTTTTTAAAAAATAGGTGGTGAAACCCAAAATAAATATTCAAAATCCCATGTGAAAAGTGTGCTATAAATTATATGTTTTGCATCATATAAGACCTCTAAGATCTTAGGATAAAATGGATTTCCCCAAAGAAGCATTCAGCTGCCTTATGCATGAGATCATATCTTCCTCCATTCATTGTATACTTTCCAAGTGCTGTAACAAATAAATCAGAGATATTATGAAATACCCCAACAATATTATTTATTAGACTGTGATTTGTCTTTGGAGCAGATTCAGCCTGTGCAGTAAAAAAGGCTAGAATCTGGTGGAAATACCATATTTTTGAATGCTCTATACCCTAAGAGGGAGGGGACCATCTAAGTCCTAAGCATTGAAATAATCTTCAAAAACTGAAGATTTTCAAAGTAATATATTTTATCCAAAAGTAGTTGTTTGTTTTTCCATGGGAAAAACACTTACCACCAACACAAATGCAATCCAGTGCAAAAGAATTGAGTTTGTACTCTAAAAGTCTAACAGACCCAATGAAACATCTGCAGAGTTTTACTAAAAAGCAAAAACAATCTTAAAATTTCCTTCTTTGTGTTCTCAAATACAAAAATTCTGTTTAAAATGGAGAATGTCTCAACTTCATGAAGGTGCCTAGAACAGAAAATTCCAATGCAAGCAGTTAAGGCAAAACTGGAAAATATTATAAGTAGAGGGAAGACCATCAGCTCTGCCTGTTACTATATCTGTAAAGACAAATCTACAAGAATATATATGAATGTGTGTGTATGCATATACATACATATTATGATTTTTAAAAATCCCTCTATTTGATGAAAATAAAATTTCTAATTTGAGTCTGATCTTGGAGGAAGAGGCAGTGAATTTATATCTTTGTACGTATTTTAATTTCTAGGTCTTGGTGTCCAGATCGAACACTTTCCCAAGCCAGGAAATATATTGCAAGTTCCTTGCATGAGAAATATACAGAGCCAGTTATTTTGAATTTAAGAAAAACTTGGGAAGAAAGTGACATGCGAACACCTCTCATCTGTTTCCTGTCTATGGGATCAGACCCAACTGATCAGATTAATTCCTTGTCTAGGAAGCTTAATTTGGGTATGAAATAGTTATTCATTGTCATATGTTAAGACATAGAGGGGCAGTGTAAGTAATTTCAGAGATATTTTTTTCTGAGACGTATTTCTTAAATTCTCTTGCACTACTGTTCCTGAAACGTCATCTTAGAGTTAAAATAATATTTTAAATAGAAGATCGTATGCTAAGAACCATTCTATGTGAAGTTGGACAGTAATTCAAGTCTTTTTTAAATAAATTGCTATCATCCTTCACGGTGATGATAACTTGTTAAATCCCTATCTTGTAAAGCAATTCATTCTTCTTTTAAAATTCTGTTATGGTGACAATAATATTTTCTTGTTTTAACTCTTTACTGCAGGTAACTTAAATCAGTAAATGTGCTTAGAAGATTACTTTGTAACAAAAAAATAGCTACAAGATCTGCACTTGTATATTCTGGACTTTAGTTCTACATTATATGGAAGCTTTGAAAACTTGTGAATACACACTGAGTTGGGAGTAGATCCCATATATTCGTGACATTAGCCACATTAGTATGCTCATAAATGAAGTTTTACATCTTTGCACTGTGTTTATTTACATTTTGAGAAAAATCTCTGTTCATATTTCAAATGCTGAAAATATGCATTTAAATGGCAATATTTCGTTGGCATAAAATTTGGTGCAAATTCACATTCACAGTCATAACAGTCACAGTTTTTAACTTCTCTAAGTGTTGTGCATGTGTATTTTAATGTTGTTATACAAAATGTCAGTGTTTAGAAAATTTATATATAATAGCATAATATGATGATGAAGGGATTCTGCTTTCATAAGTATATATTTTTGCATTAAATTTATTTAATTGTGCTGCATTTATATCACTGGTTTCTGGACTGAATTGAAAACCTTACTTTTTCTCAATAAGGTAAGTTCATTAATCTTATATTTTCAAATGTGTTATAGAATGTAGGACCATCTCAATGGGCCAAGGACAAGAGGTTCATGCACGCAAACTCATGGAGGTGTCAATGGAACAGGTGGGGATAAAACATTGCAATATAAATTGATTGTCTGTTTTGTGTTCTTTTACACCCCTTTAGCATGCAGTCTGTAATATTCTGCATTTTCATCTTACTATCAAGCATATCTCAGGGTGACCATGTCTTTTTGAATGCCTGACTTTAAAAGTATTTCCCTGTGGCGTATATGTGTGACAGTGGAGTCCAAGCCAATACTTCTGGCAGCAGGGCTACTGAGCAGCTTCCCAAAAGCAACACATTCCTTACTTATCACTATATTATTAAATAAGGGTCAAAGGACATTGGGGCCTGGTCCTGTCCTGCAGATCCCACCTCTTTATTGGAATTTTATTTCATTTTTTCCCCTCCCATATCAAAGATACCTGGATGTTGCATAGCTCCTACTAAATAAAATGGTGAGTGCACACCTAGCTTAAAGTTATAGATACAGAAGGATGTGCTTGCTCCTGATACTGTTTCACATTTTCCTTACTACTCTGCTAGTGACAGGACCTTTTACTCACCAGCATTTGGTGTCCCTACTTTGTTTCTTTAATTGTCAGTCCTTTGACTTTAAATCCCAAGTATGTCTAAGAATTTCTAAACAATATATAAGAATTTTTATTTAAATATTGTAGTGTATTTTGTTATGGCAGATGATATTCCCCAACAGTAAAACCATGAAAAACCTAAGCAGCAGCTACAGAGAGATAGCAATTGAAACCTCAAATACAATATAAAAGTTATAGTGCAGAGGTGGTACCTTCTGGTCAGCTGGACACTTCAAGGAGTTGTGGACAGTTTCTTGAAAACGAAGACATACAGCCAAAGTTGCCTGAAAACTCAAAATATAGGGAATCAGTCATGTACCTGTATTTTGGAGGGCTAGAATATCTCTACTAATAGAGAGCAGAACATGAGTATTGGCATACAGATGTACACCAATTGGGAAAAAGAGAAAAAAGAAATCTCATTATAGCAAATGACAATTTTTATTATATGTAAGTGCACACATACATCTGGTATTTCTTTGCTTGTATGTCTAGAATGGTCACTGTCAACTCCCAGTTCATTGCAATGGTGAAAACTGGAGCGTCCCTTCCCTTCTTTTGCCCTTAGTTTGAAGCACAAGGGCACTCGAAACAGCACTCCAGTAGAGCTGCCAGTAACAATTTCTGAACTGCATGCCTTAGTGCTGAAGGGAGGAACATGTGAACATCAGATTTGAAACTACAAAACAGAATTAGTGAATATGAAGACAAATACCTATTTGGTTTTTTTGGTACCTCTGGCCAAGAGCGTATAATACGATTAAAACTGCTGTGCTGTGTTACAGGAAGATAATTTTCAAAAACTAAGTCTGATCATTTGGAAATGTACCAAATTGATTAAAGATCTCCCCAAAAAAGTTGATCCCCATAAAAGAAGGAAAAATAACTACCTTTATTTAATCTTCTTTTTTAATATCCATCAATTCACCATAAATATTTCAATTCTGTTTTTTCACAAAACAGTTACTGATGTCTTTTTAAATGAGCTAAAACAAAATTGCTAAAATGAAATTACAAGCTCTAATGAAATCCACTGTCCATCACTGTTTAGAACTGATTAAATAATGTCCCATTTTAATATCAGGCTTCTAATTCATCAGGCTTCTAAAGTGATGCTAAAAAAGCTGATTGAATTTAAATTCATAAGCAGAAGTTTGGAGAGACAATAATCTAACTAGAGCTTTCATGCAATTTGAGAGATGAATAAGATCAAAATAAGTGGAGGTTGAATTTCATGCAAATGCCTTTATTGCAGATAAACTAATTGGAGTTAGAAACTTCTAAAGTCTTATTATCACCTCTTTACACTTACTTTTGATTATGTTATTAACAAATCAGTTTTTAAAAATATGTATTCCTTAAATTTCAGCTGTTACTTTTTCCACTCATATTCTTTTGGATCTAAGGACAGGATTGCTTATCACTGGTATTTTGCTGGGAGAGTACAGGAACTTCTTTTTGCCACTAGATAGCACTGATTCTTTACTTACAATATTGAGTCTGGTTATGTTGTTTTCATTGAGAACAAGAGAATGCTGAAATAACTTTTGCACTAACTTATCCTATTTGCTTTATCTGTGCCAATATCCTATAATATCAAAAGATAATATATATTCAGGAACAGAACAAAAGTTTTTAAAAAATTACAGGGAAAACTATATTTGATTCTTATATGAACAGTTGGCTTTAGCATTGTGAATATCTTGTTCAACATTTTATATGGTAATAGTTGATATCCTTGCTTAGGGAGGCTGGGTGTTGCTTCAGAATTGTCACCTTGGGCTGGAGTTCATGGATGAACTACTGGAGACGCTTCTTACTGCTGAGATCCAGAATGACACATTTCGAGTTTGGATAACCACTGAACAACATCCTAAATTCCCAATTACACTGCTACAGGTGTGTTCAAATATTTAATTCAGGTACTTAAGGAAAATTAATCAAATTAATAATATAAATGGCAATGAAAAAAATGGAGGGAAGAACCCCAAAATCCAAGAAAAAAATGGACTTGTGTTATAATGTAAATATCATTTTAAACAGGAAGGTTTACCAGTAACTGGAAGTTCTTGATGATGCATGATATATGTGTGAGTCCACACTAAATCTGTACTCAGAAGCACTTAAATAAAAATTATTTGGCTTTACTTATATCCCTTTTTGCCCAACCAGATGCCTTGTGGACAGATTAATGCCCCCAAAAGTTCTTCCAGAGAAAGGTTCCAGATTCCCCTATAATTAATAAATAAAGTATAAATGGGACAGAACACACACGGATAACACATCTTAGAGAACATCATCTACCCAATTTCTTTGTATGAACTATAAATGGCTGTTCTGTAGATCTCAAGGATATGCTTTTTGTCAGAACCAGGAAAATTGCCTGAACTCTTACAAAGTACACTGAAGTTACTGATGATGGTTCCCAACAGTCTCACAGCGGGTCATAATGCTACTTAGTGTCTACTGTAAGAGCTGTATGTTGACATTTCTATGTTCCCTTTTCTCTAAAAATCAGTGATTATTTCCTTAGTAGTTCTCATTTTTTCTGAATAAAAATAGATGCCTCACCTGATATCCAGGATGGGAAGGGGGAAGGACTCCTGTCTTGAAAGAGTGTAGAGATAACCTTAAATAAGGACAGTCCATCACCATGGTCTGTGTGTGGAAAGCCAGCTGTAGGGACTCCTGTGTTCTCTCAGCAGAACATGAAATCATCCCAGGGGTTTATGAATAGTGTGGTATATGGACATACAGTTTGCTAAAAGTGAGAAAGGAGAACTCAGAAGGCTGCTAGATGAATCTTCACTGCATTTATATCAAATATTTCACATGTGATTTCCCCCTGTATAGTGTCACGTTACCTGCTAAAATGTTAACATATTCAGGGATTCCAGAACAAGAATAATTGACAAACCAAAGCCCCTTCTCAAAAGAAAAGAGAACAATTTGCTTTGTTCTTTTTAATATAGAATTTTCATCAAAACTGAACAGGATATCCTTTGAAATGTGGAAACACTGATTTTCAAGTGCTCCAATTCAGCCCAACAGTAACACAGTGTGTCCATGGGCTACCTGGCCTGTACGGTCCTTTGTGTGCTTCTACCACATAGAAGTCTTGAGCAACAGAGATTCTCTCAGACCAGTCTGTGTCTGAACTAATAAATTGTTCCCTGAGCATTATTCAGCACTGGAATGCAATAGCCCATAGGGGTAAGTAGTTACAATATTCTCTGATGTGAAAACCTGTGCTCACTAGGACCTTTCTGAATAATTTGCAGATACGGTTTGAAAACAAAAATTGTGTAGCCACTCTTCCCATTAGGCAGTTTGCATGAAACTAAGGGGCTGAATTCTAAGGGGCTGTGGCAATTTACTACCACAAATATGGAGTCAATGCCTGCTGACCACAGTGCTCAGGAATATTCTCTGGTGAACCTAATTTGCTGCTGTAGACAGCCACAGAGTCCAGAGTAGCTGCTGTGAACACAAGGATCTGATCTGAGGAGGAGTGAGATTTCTTTGTATGTGCTGTGAAATTCTGGGAACAGAAATACAATTCTGTTCTTGTCATTTATATTGGATGCTTCTCTTTCATCATTCAGTCATTGAAGCAGGGATATAAAAGCCTTCTGAAAAGCTTTTTTGATGACTGCTTTTATGTCATTGATGAAAATTTTTAGGTCCGTGGCCAAGTGTCAGTGATGGTTTTGACCTACAGAAATTAAAGGTCTATGTTCAAAATTCTTTGTGGCCTAATCTAGTATGACTACAGAAGAGAAGGCTTTGGGAAGACCTTATTGCAGCCTTGCAGTACTTGAAGGGGCCCTTAGGAAAGATGAGGACAGACATTTTAGTATGGCCTGTTGCACCAGGGCAAGGGATTCTGGTTTTAAACTGAAGAATATTTTATTTAGATTAGATATAAGAAATAAATTTTTTACAATGAGGGTGGTGAGGCACTGGAACAGGTGGCACCAAGAAAGGTGGTGGATAATCCATCCCTGGAAACATTCAAGGTCAAGTTGGACAGGACTCTGAGCAACCTGATCTATTTGAAGATGTCACTGATCATTGCAGGAGTGTTTGACTAGATGGCTTTTAAAATGTCCTTTCCAACTAAAAGTATTCTATGATTCTGTGTACTCTTTCTATGCAGTTTAAGTACATATCAACTTTACTTCTACAAGATGTCAGTTATTTAAATTTTATTTATAACTAGTAGTTGTGACATTTTCATATGTTGCTATTTTTGTTTCAGTAAACAAATACAATTCCTTTATATTTTTCTTGTGACAGATTGCTATAAAGTTCACAAATGAACCTCCACAAGGTATACGTGCTGGACTGAAAAGAACATTTTCTGGAATTAGTCAGGATCTGTTAAATGCTAGCAACCTGCCTATGTGGAAGCCTTTGCTTTACACTGTAGCTTTCCTGCATTCTACTGTTCAGGTATTTCTTAAAAGGTTTGCAAATAGTGGTATAATAGATGGAGTCACTCTAATAGAGGTTCCTGAATAAACACATTCTCACATTTGTCATAGCATCATGCTGCAGGACTAAAGCTTTAATTTCTGTAATCTGTATTTCAAGGTTCGTTATTATCTCTCTCTTTTTTTTTTAATAGCTTTTGAACAATTCTTATATGATGGGCATTTAGAATTTGTTTTTTCTTCATCTAACTTCAGCTAATCAAAAGTTAGTTGTTGAGTATATGGGAAAAATGTCTCTATTCAATAGAAATAGATAAGCAAGCTGAAACAGAAAACCAATTTATCTGTCATAGTTGTCTTTCTCTAAGAGTGAATATTTTTCTAGAGATACATCACTCTTTCTCTCTTTGATTTTAAAGGCAATCCAGATACCTAACTTAGAGTAACTATTTTCTAGATGGCTAAAATTAAATAAAATTCTTCTCATATCTGTGTCAATGTAGTCTGCATTAATTCTAGTATGACAACAATGATATCTATACATTGTATTTAAAGATAAATAAGTTTTGAGTTCACAATAAATACTAATAATTTGAGCTCTCTGAATGTACCTCCTTTTCACCCAGGATCTCAAAACAGTTATAAAACTCTGTTTAAGCCTTAGATTCCACTGAGTACCTTGTATTTTTGGTGTAGGCAGCTGGTGAGAGAAGGACAATGCGTTGATGTTCACTGTTAAGATATAGAATTCTGCATTATTTTCCTTCTTCTATCCTTTTTAAACGTGCTCTGTTTACTGCCTGTGGATTATACTGTTCTTGTGGAACTAGAAGATCTAAGCTTATTCAACCCATCAGTATTTTTAAAAACTATTACAGCTATTCATCTATTAATAAATTTTATGAATTGCCAACCAACAAGCAATATATACATTGTCCTGCCTTTAAAGTGACCAATTCTTAATATCCTTTAGTGACAAGATCATTATGATAAATATAGCTTAAGAAGTAATTTAAAAGACTTTGCAGGAAATCATTACACTTTTCTGCATGGTATGATTGGTTAATGCTGTGTTATCTGCTTATAAACAATATTTGATTTTGAAAAATAAAAGGTGAGGTTTTTTTCATTCTAGTTCTTTACAAATATTGTAGCTAGGGTGCCTAAATATTACTTCAGTTGTCAAAGACTGTCAATGATTAGTGACTTGATAATATAAAATCTGATAAATATGTTATCATTTAGTTAATTTAAAAATGTAATTTATTAATTTGATAAATGTCGGCACTATTCATAAATTTAGTTTTTAACTTCTTGAATTAACTTGCTCTGGATTCTGAAAAAAAGATTGAACTATTTAACTGAGGTGGCTTTAACAAATTTGTGACAAATCTAATAGTGCTGGATGTTTGAAGTGTTTGGGCTACAGAATATTTATTCTTTTACTTTCATAGTTGACTATTTTTTTGTTAATACAATTGTTATCACTTTATTTCCAAATAGGTATGCAAGAATATATTTGAATAATGTAATGGTGGCAACCTTAAAATAAAGTTATGAACTTTGAAAAAAATGTACATTAAAAAAACATAGTGAAACAATAAGATAAAAGTGGCAACACAGAACTCCTTGGAAAACAGCATAAATATAAGAGCTTGAAAATTTGAAACTATCATTAGTCAACAGTATATGTAAAAAGAAGAGAAAAACTCTACCATGATAAATTAATTAATTACTTAATATAAAAATCTCATTATCCACACAGAAGTGAGGCATTGCAAACCTGTGACTTACAAATTGATTAGTAAAGTTATTAATACATTATTTTGTTGCTTTTTCTATAAATATTTATCCCTCGTGGTATTACTTAGCTGTATTATTTATGTGTATGAGGCATACAGCCATTTCCTAGGTTAACTTTCTTCTCCAGTTCAATTCTTTACTCCACTGGTATTGTCATTATTGAAATTTATTAAGGAAAGAAAATTATAAGTTGTTTGATAAATAAATTTGGTTTCAATTTTATTCCTAAGGAGCGACGCAAGTTTGGACCTTTGGGTTGGAATATTCCCTATGAATTTAACTCAGCAGACTTTACAGCCAGTGTTCAGTTTATACAAAATCACCTAAAAAAAATTGACATCAGGAAGGTGAATACTAAAATCTTTTTATAATACATTTTAATGCTTTGTATGGCAGCAGCAATTGTTTTTTCCTCATGTTTATCATAATTTACTCATTGCTATTCCTTTAGTGCCACTTCTAATGATCAAAGGTTGAGATTCTCTACAAGAAAATCAAGCTAAATTATTTTATATGCATGTAAAATATATATACATGCACGCATGTAAAAATACATATCTTTTAAGAACCTTAATTTTTTTTTTTTTTCTTTTTCACTACTATATCCTATATTTACTAAGTTTGAAAGAGCCAATCAAACTTCTCTACAGCTACCATTTCATCTTCTACTACTTAGCAGGGAATAGCCATTCCTTATGAGCAGCACTTGGCCAAGAGAGAAAGATGAGAAATAAGGAGAAGGGGTGGGGTGGGGAGGGTGGAAATGGTGGGGTAAGGAGAGAGGAGGTAGCAGCTCTGAGTGATGTCAGGTCAAACAAGTAATAATGAAATGTATTACATATATAACATATGCCTTTTATATATTATGAGATTTTACTTCAAGAGATCAAGCCATATGAGGAGTGGCTGAGGGAGCTGGGGGTGTTTAGCCTGGAGAAAAGGAGACTCAGGGGAGACCTTGCCACTCTCTACACTTCCCTGAAAGGCAAGTGTAGCCAGGTGGGGATCAGCCTCTTTCCTAGGCAACCAGCAACAGGACAAGAGGACATAACCTCAAGCTGTGCCAGGGGAGATTGAGGTTGGACAGCTGGAGGATTTTTTTAGTGGAAAGGGTTATCAAGCATTGGAATGGACAACCCAGGAAGGCTGTGGAGTCACTGTGCCTGTAGGTGTTCAAGAAACAACTGGACATGGCTCTTAGTGCCATGGTCTAAGTTGGTGTTTGGTCAAAGGTTGGATGCGATGATGTTAAAGGTCTTTTCCAACATAAATGATCCTATGATTCTATATTTATAACAGCAGGATCAGCAGGATGAAGCCCAACTCTTCTATAAAATTACAGAGCTGAGCTCAGTAAATACATTGGAAATAAAGTATTAGTGTTACATGATTTTTTCCAGTTTATGTTTCAGACCATTTTGAGCTTCAGATTATATTTAAATTAAAATCTTCTTCTTACATATAATAACGATAGTTTTTCATGTACTTTACTTGCATCCAGGGGATATCGTGGAACACGGTACGCTACATGATTGGAGAAGTACAGTATGGAGGCCGAGTCACAGATGACTATGATAAGCGTCTTCTTAATTGCTTTGCAAGGGTAGGAGGCCTTGGAAATACAGTTATTTGTCATTTTTATTGGCAGCTGCAATACAGAAATCAGAAGGCCTTGTTTCTGCTGAATATGCACTTTGCCAGTTTATATGACTTTTCAAAGTAAAACGAGTTTTTCAAGTCGTCATTCTTTGGCAGTGAAGATCTTCCTCTTGTTTCCTCTTTGGTGAGAAGCAAAAGCTTAAAAGACTTAGCTGGAAGTCAGACTTAGGAGACATAATTCTTAATGATTTACGGTTGTATTAAAGTAAAATTAGATGCAGTAGCTGAAACAAGAGCCCGAATCCTCCAAGAGTAAAAGTGAGATTAAAAAGCCCTCTAAGTAGCAAAGCAATTGTTGTCTTTCTTTTTTTCCCCATGGATTTTTCACAGGTATGGTTTAATGAAAGTATGTTTGACAGCGCTTTCTGCTTTTACACTGGGTATAAAATTCCAGTTTGCAAAACCCTGGAGCAGTACTTTGACTACATCCAGTTACTTCCTGCCATGGACAGCCCAGAGGTGTTTGGTCTCCATCCCAATGCTGATATTACGTAAGTTGGTCTCAACGTATTGAAAATGGAGAATGTTTCTTTCAGTATTTGGAAACAAATCCCTATCAAATGTTTAAGTAAAGTATATTTTGCATTGGAAACCTAGGATTCATGTGGATTTCACTGTTGAAGTGGAACACTTCCTGTGTATGTACATTGTTATAAATGCAGTATCTTCCGCTACATTTTACATGTTATTACTTACTCCTCATGATTTTACATTTTTTAATTGAAAGCATTATGAAACTTTTATATGAACATGTGATAGGTGGTTCTACACAGTTCAACTAGAGAAAGTTTCCAGTATTTGCCTTCTGTTTCAAGCAGTTTATTTTTCTGTGCATACTTGTTAAATGATTCTGTGGATTGTCATTTGGTTTACGAGAATGCCTTTGGATGCAACTACAAACTTATGTTGCAATCAGTCCCACCATTTCAGCTATTTAAAAGAGGCTTTTCAACTGCACCAAGTACTAGCTCCATTTAAAATTTTATCTTTGACTGAATTCACTCTTTCATTCCAAATAATCTGTGTAACAGCTTGCCTTTTATTTCTAATATTATTTGCCTTGTGAAAGGATATGAACATCATCATATTTTTTTCACTGAAGTTCTTAATAATTTTTCCATGAAATATTGCATTTTTATACGCAGTATGTCCAAATTCCACATTCATTGTTTCTACACGTAGCTATTTTTCTACTTTTAAATAAAACAAATGTTATTCAAATGCAGAGCTGCTGTGAAAGCCTAACATCATCTAATGTTTTTGGATGAAGCAATAATTTCCCACAATCTTTCAGTCTCAAAGTTGAGAGGCTGATGCCATGTCAAGAGGCCTGTATTCTAAGCATGCTGTGAGAAGAGTACACAGTTTTATTGTCAACTCTGCTTAGCACATACCGCTGTTAATATATGCTTGTGAAGAAAAGAATCTAAGAGTAGATTCTGTTCCAAGTCATTCTCTGATACTTGCAAGACCTCCTTTCCAGAAATGATTAAAGATGAAAGAAGAGCCAAGATTTAACAGAGAACTAAACAAAGTCTTGAAGAGAGACATGCTGTAGATCCTAAATTAGGCTTGTGGGAGAGCTAATTTATAGGAGGAAACTTGAGACTAACACTGTTGGTGGGGGGGATTTAGTGAGTAGGAGCAGCTCTCTGGTTTCTCTTCAGTGCTCAGTTTTTCTTCCACTTGGTACCTCTGCCTATTCCTGTTTCTTTAGCCTTTTTTTTCTTTTCTTTTCTTCACCCTGTAGATTTTGCCTTGTAGGTATTTCTTTAGAGGCTGGGGGAAATGTTCAACAGCTTCATGCTTTTTTCAATGTCTTATCACAGTGTGTTATAAGAAACGATGCATAGCTACTGTGTCTGAATTTCATCTTTGACGCACAGACCAAATGGATTAGCATCCCATACAATATAGACAGCTCTACTCAAATTCTCCTTATAATATCCAGTCATCTCAGAGTATGCAGAAGGCTAACCGCTAGAATTGAAACCCTGAGAGAGCCAAGACCTCTCCATGTTACTATTACTGAGGACAAGAAAAATCTTATCTCTCACTAATTTATTGTGGCAGTTTTACAGTTCAGCCAAAAGCTCAGTCTGTTGGTTCCAATTGTAAGGCTTCAATGAATTTAGTGCTTCCATTTAGGATTAACACCTGAAGTCATTGAGAATGATTTTAACTTGCTGTATGAATCACAGGCTCTGCAAAAGCCACATAGTTAACAGGTACCTGGGCAGGAAAAGAATATGCTGACAATCTTCTGCCAAAATCCCTTCCCAATTGGTTCCCTACTGAAGCCTCTAATGTAGCTGAATTTTTGTTAAGCTATTGCAAGCTGGTGAATGCAAGGGTTTTGAACACCGTGCTGCAAAAGTTATTGCTGTTTTCTACACAAAGCTGAGGCAATATTTCTGTCACATGCATTTTTTCTTAGTTTTCACTTCCAGTACAGAAAATCCCTGATGGCACATATTCCAGCTATCACATAATGATAGTATGTTACATCCAAATTCTTGAGAAAAAACTCTTTTGTTTTTTGGAGTAAATCAAAATCCATAGAAGATTAATTTACCTTTTTCTTCTTATGACACAATTCACTTTACAATACTGCTTTGGGGAAAAACAATATATAAATAGGTATTGAGTACTTTAGCTTACATACCTTTAGGCAACACTGACAGTATAAATGAGATTCATTTAATGTTGCTGTAGCTTCCTTTTTGGTTACTCTAGACTTCCTTAACAGTAATAGAGAAAAATAGATCCTTGTAAGGTGCAATTTCTCTCTTCACAAAGCAGACATCTAAAATACATGAGCTGAATTGGGTAATCTAGACAAAAAGCTGTTATGGAGACATCTACATATAAATATCTACGTGTGATGAGGGTCAATCTGTCATGTGCAACTGATTCTGTTCTCAGGAACATGGTACTTCCTCTGCAGACTTCTGCCATCTTTCTATCGTTATTGTTTGCATTTATACTTCATTTTATTTGCAATCTAAAGGAAAGTGAGGTTTTCCAAAGCCCAGAAAAATTTTGTTGCAGAGTGGTTTTTATGTTGAATATGTCCCAGTGGTATGTAAATGAAATTTCTTCTGGGTATTTTAATCTCACTTCCACACAGGAAATCTTTTAATTATGCAAAGATCAAGATACATCTTTTGGTCTTTTCTATTTCTATTTACAAAAAAGTCTTGTTCAAACAGTAATTGTTATTTATACAAGATTCATATAATTTCTCCTCTTCAGAAGGTTCCTAGCTTGTATCATTGAAGAAAGGAATATCACTAACCTTTGATTCTGTTCCTTCGATGCTATTTTTCAAAAGCCATTCTCTCCTTTTCTCTGAAGTTTTCATACTGCCTTCTTTTTAAAATTGTTTCTATATTATTTTTTAGATTTAGAAAGATCATTTTTTAAATCTTGTAATTTATTATAATTTAATTTATGAAATAATCAGGGAACCCGTACCTTCTACATTAAATAGTCTGACAGCAGAATTGGAAGAATAGTGCTTACAGTATGAACAGGAAGGTTCACATTTTTCTAATCACTACTTGTTAAGTCAGCAAGACACAGAGTAAAGGTTACAACCACGGGTATGTCATCCAAATTACCAATGAAGCCATGAATCCCAGAGAAATTTTATCTTTTCTGCTCATACATGGTCTTAAATAAATCTTTCATTTTTTTAATGGGACCATAAATTGAAAAAGAGCTTGAGAGTTTTGAGTCTAAAGTCAAGGGCTATGAAAAACCTTGAAAGCCCCCACCATTCCTACTTTTAGAAACAGAAATTATATCCTTTGAGAAGCAAACTCCCGGTAGTATTAATTCTATTTTTCTGATTTATAGTCTTTATAATTGCATTCACCAATTTTTTTTTAATTTTTTTTTTTTGCTGAATACTGTAGTATCTAGCTTCTCTAGTATTGTGACGCTGTATCCCAACAATCTTTAGGTGCTTTAGGAGTTCACACATTCTAACTTTGGTTTCATATCTTATATAATTATATATGACAAAGTAATAGAAAGAAATGGGTGTCATATGAAAGTTGAAAAATAAAGCTGACATGCAAATCTATGCTTTGAATCAGTATAAATGTATGTCCTACATCACTGTAGGACATCATGTATGTCATACATCACACTGATGTATGTTCCTTGTGTAGCTGATTCCATAAGGTAAAGCAGCCATTGCAACACTTCAGTACTTCAGGCTTTCTTTCTTATTTCCTCTCTTACCTGTATGCCACTGGATAGCACTGTAACAAAAATACTCCTATAATTCTTCTGTTGAAGGACTGACATGGTCTACCATCTTTCATTATCCAATGCCACACAAATTTAATTCACATTTTTGTATTGACTCAGAACATTAATTTACCTTACCACTGCCTATGCTTCATTATGGAATAGAAGATCTTGACCTGCAGTGCTGTAAATCTAGCAGCCCTTGCCATTTATCCTGAAACATCTTAAAGCAGAATAAATTTACTAATTATTAAAGGGACAGCTTGCAGGGTTATACCTCCACCTTTTCCTGCTTCTGCATTACACTTTTAAGAAGTAATTAAATGAGGCAAATATTCTTCCTTGTTACAAAACTTTTGTTGCTCCTTCTCAACAAATAGCTCTTTAGAAAATCTTAATCAGGAATATGTAATTTCCTTCCCTTTCTTCAGAATCCCTAGTATGATAGGTTTTTCTGCCACCTCACAATCTAAGCCTGCAGCCCTCCGTCTTATCCCTAAATCAGACACACAGCAAGTGTATGATAGGGAAGAGGGAAGTTCATATTCTTTAAAACTGTGGTAAACCAAACCTTCAGGATCAGTGTATTATGGTTGGTGCAGGATGAAAAACAATTTTGTGCGAGTTTTCATTTGATTTCACGGGACACTGTTTTTTTGTGTGTTCTATAAAGTTATCAGTAACTGTTTAAAAATTCTATGTAATTTATAACATATTTCTCATCCTCTCAGATACCAGAAAAATACATCAGCTGATGTTCTGGATACTATTACCAACATTCAGCCTAAAGAAAGTGGTGGAGGATCTGGAGAAACTCGTGAAGCAGTTGTTTATCGTTCAGCTGAAGACATGCTGGAGAAACTTCCTCCAGATTACATACCTCATGAGGCAAGCTAATCTTAGTCTTGTCTTGCTGTTCTCTCTGTCGAGTTTTCACACTACACAGTCCAAAAAAAAAGAAACATCGAATTGTACAAAAGATCATATAAATAGTAGCAGATTCAAGTAAGAACCAACACCCTTATTGCTACGGGCATGAATTGGAATGAAGATTTTTTATCTCAAATCAAGACATCAAACAATTGGCCATGGAGATACACCAGGGAGATTACGCTTGGACTTCAAAGCTACTTGTGAAAACAGAAAATAATAATGTCTTGACGTTTTGTGATAGAAGTCCCCTGGGTCTTCTGGGTGAAGTCCTATTCTAGCAAATTCATGAGTAATTGGGTAGTATCATACAAAAAGTAAAAACTGCAGCAGTTTTAAGGGGATAAATGTCAGTCGAATAATACACAAATCTAATATTTACTTTTCTGAACACATATGTTGCATACTACAACATACTACAACAGCATTTCAACAATTTAGACTTAACTGAATTCCTTTTGTGCTTTTATAATTCAGGTAAAGGCTCGTTTAGTTAAAATGGGAGCACTTAACTCTATGAATATTTTTCTTCGTCAAGAAATTGACCGCATGCAGAAGGTGATCACAGTTGTCCGCACCAGTTTGAATGATCTGAAGCTAGCCATAGAAGGAACTATTGTTATGAGTGAGGCAAGTAAAGTACTTCTACTACATATGGAATACTGTGCTTTAAATTGTTAAACTGATTTATTTACTTTGAATATTATTTAATTCGTTCAGAGTTTAAGAGATGCACTTGATAACATGTATGATGCTCGAATCCCTCAAGTCTGGAGAAGAGTATCTTGGGAGTCTTCCACACTTGGCTTCTGGTTTACTGAACTTTTGGAAAGAAATGCTCAATTATCTAATTGGATATTTCAAGGAAGACCAAGGGTGTTTTGGATAACTGGATTCTTTAATCCACAAGGTAAGACAACTGAAGAGACTTGAGTAGTAATGTATTGAATAGTAATTTAATGGTTATACTGCCAGAGTGTGTCACAGAAGCCAAGATGAAAAACGTTGGAACTTGATGATTTTTAAGGTCCCTTTCAACCCAAACCATTAGATGTGATTCTATAGTTCTCTGATCTTTCAGTCTGACCCCAAAACAAGCAGTTCTTATATTACAAGAAGGAAAACATACAGTTAATTAATAAAATAATTTATCTTGCTGACATATTGTAGCATGATATTCTACAACTTCTAAAGAAAGTATACTTAATGATAATGATACAGCTTTTAAAGAAAATACTATTTTTCTCTGGTTTGAAACTGTTTAACTCATTCCAAACTGTAAGTTGCCAGTATGGAAGAGCTTTAATCTAGAGCAAGGTGTTATAGTAGCAACAAAATGACTTCTTACAGTCCAGTAAGAGCAATCACTCACTGGAACAACCTCATCAGAGACATGGAGGAGTCCCCACTTCTGGAGGTTTTCAAGATGTAATTGGACAGTGCTAGATAATCTCATCTAGTCTTCCCTTTCACATGAAAGGTTGGACCAGGTGAACTTCCCATGTCTCTTCCAACGTGGGCTGCTCTGTGATTCTATGAATGTGCAATTGTACCAGAATATATAGCAGTTGTTTGTCTTTCACAGAGAGTTATCAAAATGTAGTTTTACTGTGTATCCATTTCACAGGTTATTTAATAAACAGTTTCTTCAAGTTCATCATAGATATGCTGTGAAGTACAAGTAAATATTATCTATCATTATCTGTTATAGCTTGATATTTTTACCATTTAGAGGAAAGAGGAAGAAAAACAAATTTTAACCATCTCCATGAGTAAAAAACCCCCATTACCTTACAAGGTGTGTGCTCCTAGGAGAATCTCCTCCAGGCTACACAACTACCCATACAAAATTCTCATAAGAAACTTCGGTGTGACAGCTATGAGGTTTTGGTTTTGTTTTTTGCTTTTTCCAAAATTAGAATCAACCTCTGAAATTCTTTAATGTTATATGAGTTGCCTTTGCTTTGTGATGCTTCTGTTCTTACTGGCCTTCCTACTGCCAGAACTGTAAAAAGTACTAATACCAAAGTCTATTTTAGAGTCACTTTGAGAAACACCTGAGGAGGTGCCTGGAGTACATCCAATTTATTATTAAAAGGTGGTATTGTGTTGCCAGCAAAAACATGGCTCAATTTGTATCCTAAGTGGCACAGCTGATAAGCATGCTGATCTCTGGTGATTCAAGAGCAGCACTCACAGTGGTGTGAAAGAAGATAATGGACCACATTCTTTTGACAAACGAAAACATTTAGCCTAATAGGCAACGAACCTGAGATACAGATGGCCTTGAACTTTATTATTGTTTCAGTCACTGTGTTAAAAAAACCCAAAAGTAGTCCTGCAGCTAGAGAGAGGCTTGCTAAGTGCAAAATGGGTGCTGTGAGTAGGGGTGCTGTGAATATATTTCTAATATCACACTATTTTTGTAATACTGCTCACCAGGAAATTCACTGTTAAGTATGCAGTTCTCTGTGTTAACTTCTTTGTCTTCGTCTCAATCTCTATGACTGTCAGTTGCAAGCAGTTTTTCATCTTATAGCTTAAAATAGCAGGTATTGAGCTTTTAATGACTTCATTGTTATTTTTTGACACACACAGAAGCAACTAGGTATTTGGTATTTCTGTTTTTATATTTGGTGTTTCTGTTTCTGTAGCTTTGTCCTTTATAACACATTCAAACCTCTTTGCTGCTCAGTCATCTGTGCCTAAACTATTCAGCCTTTTACATCTCAAATCTTTCTAATTTAAAACTCCTGTAAAGTCTGTTCAAAACTCAAAAAATCACCTAACTTGCTGTTCAGTTATGTCATCCTCTACATTAATTTCTTCCTGACACCCTCTTTTCCCCCTAACAAAACATATATTTTTTATTCTTCATAGGCACCGCATTGACTAGATTCCCCACATTCATATCGTTATTTTATTATCATATTCAGATATATATTTTCTGTTTTCCAACAACGAAATTAATTCTACTTCTTTCATTTAAAACACCCCCACCTTTTAGCTAAGTTGACTTTATATAGACATCAACTCAGATAACTTGTTTGCCTTGAAATTCTTTCTTGAAAGACACCTTTATCATGGATCCTGTAGTTGATTGCCTTATGATAATTTGTAAGTCAGTGTCCCTACTAAATATTTCTTAATAGAGTAATTTAATAGAAGAAAAACAGTCCACGCCACTTAAAAATATTTTTATCAGTGTAATGCACTTAACTCCACTTTTGTCACTTGTTCCTGTTTTGGTCCCAAAGCAAAGTTTGTTATCATTAGTCAGGATGCTATTTTTCAATACAACTCTGATTATCTGTCTATAAGTTCAGTGCAGATCCGTGCTAATAACTGAGAAAGATTTTATTTTATCATGTGAGATAAATACTAAATATCTGGCTTAATTTCTCAAGGATTCCTGACAGCAATGAAACAAGAAGCAACTCGAGCACATAAAGACTGGGCTTTAGATAAAGTTTCAATACATAATGATGTGCTAAAGCTAACCAGAGAAGAAATCACTTCATCTCCTTCTGTATGTATGACATGCAAAGATGTTTCAGTATTAATTTTGGTATTTAGTTTATATTATGCATCACTGAGTCATTTTGGATTGATAGAGGAAAAAGTTACTACTGCCTTCACCTTAAAGTTTTTGCTCAACATAGACGCCAAATACTAAGTATGAAGATTTTAATTAAGTTAGAATAATATTTAGTTGAAAGAAGTGTTTCATTGTACCACCTGTTAATTTTTGGAATTTATAGTAAACTTTACATGAAACTTTGTAGTATATACAAAGACTTTATTAAACAAATTTTGTTGCCCTCCATTTCAGTAGCATTATCTTCTGAAAAAAAAGATTATATTATAGTTTAAAATGAAATAGTTTGAAGATATTCAATGTCAGATATTTTTTACTATAAAACATATCCTTCTTTTAATGGTTTAAGAAAATTATTAGGCTTTATATGTTGTGATGTATCTGCTTACTCTTCACACAGGAAGGAGTATATATCTATGGGCTCTACTTGGAAGGTGCAGGCTGGGACAAACGAAGAAGTGTGCTCGTTGAGTCTGCACCAAAGATTCTTTTTGTCCAGTTGCCTGTGCTCCATATGTATGCTGTGGATTCAACCAGACCTAGGGATTCCAAGCTTTATGTTTGTCCTCTTTACAAGAAGCCCAAGAGGACAGATTTGAACTTTATTACAGAGGTATTTTTAAGGACATCAAAGTCTCCAGACCACTGGATTCTGAGAGGAGTGGCTCTTCTCTGTGACATCAAGTAAGCTGCTTTTCCTACTATGGTAGAAGTATGTGGCACATGTAACAAATGAAATGTGTAATTCTTCTACTGCTCTTTATTTGGAGGCCACTCGTCATTATACTAGAAATTGCATTTCAGTCTTGGCTTACTGATTTTTTTCTCTGCTTTCAGTAAATTCAGTTTGCCTTGGCTGTTTGTTGACAGTTTTAAAGTAAATCTTTCCAAATAAGTGCATTGCTTGCAGTCTTTGAAGTATGCATTACATTACTTTAAATGGATATTTGCTTTAATAATGTCAAATAAAATGTTATTAAACCTTAAAAAGACCCTGCTTTTTTACATTCTTTCACATGTACAACTTATAGCTTGTGTTTCAGTGATGTATTGCGACAACAAAATTTAAAATCTCCTAGATACAAATTTAAATTCCTAGATTCTGCATGATACACACCTTATTTTCTGTGAGTCTGCAGGAAACTATATGACAGAAAAATATATTTGATCCATATTTTTTACTTGGGTTTCTCAGAACTCACTTGTTCTTGTTAAACTATCTAGATTAAGCAAAACTTCACCAGGAATGTTTGTGCCTGGAATATCTGACAGAGATCAGTATGTTTTCTGTCCAGTTTAGTTGTGTAGGAACAGAAGTAGAACAGTTCCAACTACTAAATATGGATTTTTTTTAAATCAGAGAACCAGATTATTTACAAGCATAATTATTTTTTCTGCATTTCCTTGTAGATCTAAAGTGTGGGTTGCCATCCTTGAAATGACTTTCACAGCATTAGTCTGTGATGATACTAAGGAATATCCTAACCATGAGTTTTCCAGACATAATTAGTATTAAACTAATTCTATTTATTTAATACTAAACAAGATATGCAGTCTAAACTATCTCTTTAATAATCTCCAAAATGTTTCTTCCTTCGGATACCTTTATTTGGCAACACAATTTTTCACTTACACTCCATGACTGGACTGTTTTTCCTTTTGCCATTCAAGAGTGTTCAAATGCATCTGCTGTGGCAAAATGCAGCTATTACTTGACAAAGTCCTGGGCATCTGTTAAGATGACAAAAAGCCCTTCCTCCTGCTGGAGTCCTATGGCTTTCTGTTGGAGGTCACCATCCCAGGATATTCTCTTGCAGAAAGTCCATGGCATATAAGAAATAATGCTACACAGACACAGCATTGTGAGCAGAGTAACAAAAAAGTGACATCTCCAAATGCAATTAAGTAAAACATTTCTTCTCTCTCCTCCATAGATATACTTAGATTCAAATACAAGAAACCTGCTGGTGTTGGTTAACTTTTACGGTTTTTATGTATTTTTAGAAGTTGTACCACAGAACTACATCTGCAAAAAAAGAAAAGAAAAAAATCTGACTTTGCAATTACGGAAGATTTTTCCCCAAGTAATCCCCAAGTTTTCACCAAGTAATATTGATGATAGAACTTGTGGTGGGTTTACCAGCAGCTAAGTACCCAGAGGCTTGCCCTGCCCAAGCAGAATGGGGCAAAGAATTGCAAGATCAGAAGCTGAAAACAAGGGAGCAGCCAAGATGAAGGCAGTTTAATAAGTGAAGAAAAGCTGCACACACGAGAAAATTGAATTAAGGAATTTATTTACTGCTTCCCACTGGCAGGCAGATGTTTAGCCACTTTTAGGGAAGAGCCCTAGCATGCATAATGGTTACTTGGTAAGACAGATTCAATGAGAACAATTGTCCCTTATCCTACTCCTTTCCTGAAGTCTTCAGTGCTGAACATGAGATCATGTTTATGGAATACCCCTTTGGACAGTTTGGGGCAGTTGCCCTGGCATTTTCCCCTCCCATGGTCTTGCACATGTCCAGTACACTCACTGCAGGGGCAGAAGGGAAAACTGTTCATATCCAAAAACTAGCACAAGAATAATATGTCTTTATTCCTAGAAGTTTTTTCCTGGTCTAGCCTTTCAGCTTAACTACAATGGAGAAAAAGTGTGTAACCTTGAATGCCTCCACCAATGGAAGATGTGCACTGACACATTTTCAAGTTGAAAGCCTGTATGGGAAATGGCAGGGAAAGTACAAATTAATGTGCTTAGTTACACAACTTACACTGAAGATGATTTTATTCTCCATCCAGTATAATACCAAGAATAGAAATGAATAATATATTGTTATCTCAACTATATCATGTATCGCATCAGATTCTTGATGCAAGACTCATCTTTCTTGTTTGTCAGAGTCCAATCTCCATTTCTCATCTTCTCTGAGCCTGTCAAGGTATTTGTTCCATTCTCTTTCCTCAATACCATGCATCAGCTCACTACTTTCAGGTTACAGTGAATGTTAATTTTCATAGAGCTTTCCAGGTAATTTACGGAAATAATCTATGTTTTGTGACAGCAGCAATCTACTGTGTATTCAGAAGACTAATTTTTTTTCTCTGCATGCTTCAAGAATATTTATGAAGTATTTTCATGTTCTGGTCATATGTGGGATAGTATTCTTGTACCTAATTTGTTTACAACCAGCTCTTGAAACATCTAAAGAGGTGCAGTTAATTACTTGAACCACAAGTCATTCCTCCCAGCTGTCATTATCTATAGGAATTCAGGATCTCAATTCAAGACTTTTCGCTCCCAGGAATCCTCTGTACCACCAGGATACTGGTGTTACTCTCTGAACTTTTTAATGCTCACTTGCTATTCAAGTTACTGCTGTTTAAGTTGTGAGACAGTATTGTGGAGCCTAAACTGACAAAGAAAGTAACACCATGTCAGCAAAACACAAATATTTAACAGATGATCAAGAAAAGACAAGTACTTGAAATATGGCATTTAGTCTCTGAGAGAAGACCTAACTCATGAAGTTCTGTGTTTGAGAATGTGAAGAAGAGCATGTCCAGAATTGGCTTAGAGAGTGCATTCGCAGTGTGCATCTTTCTTTCCTCCCTTGGTGTCACCCAGAAGAATTTCCTGCCCTTTTACTCTGATTTTCAGAGGTAATCCAAGCCAGTGAGACAAGGGAAGGCACTTCTACTCTTTCCTGCTGCTTTAGAGCAGATACCTGAATTGGGAGCCATTGATCTGCCTGTACCTCAAGATACTCATTTTTCACAGAACTTTTTATTCTTAGGTGATGATTCATGAGAAGCCTGGAGCTTGGCTGTGTGGTAAGGTTTCATGTGACAGTGGCTAAGAATTAACAAAAAACATGGAAAAGAGCTTGCAAATGGCAGGAAGGGGAGGATTTGTTTTCTGGCCAGGTTTTTAAATCTCATAAAACCACTGATAGGAATGAGCTTGTTCCAAGAAGGTAACATTTCAGCTAAGTTTTGACTTGAAAGATTTGTTAATTCCATAGAATGGTTTTCTTCATCTACACCCTCTATTTCTGCCTCTAGATTCTGGTCAGCTGTAATCAAAATTTGTTTGGAATATTCATAGTTTATGCCAAGACCCACTGTTTTCTTATTCAGTAACCTCATTAACTGACCATATCTAGTCTAAATATTTAAACTAATACATTATTTTTGATAGTCTATAAGAATATCTGGCAGCAGTATATAAATGTGTTTCTGTTGACACAAATACTGAAAATCAAATGTATGGAATGTGCAAGCTGCTGTTTTAAGTATATTGACGTTTCTGCTGATTTTTGAATATTTGAGTGTAACTGCATTGCTGTGACAAGTCTCTCATTCCGATTTCTTCAGAAGCCACTGCTATTATTTATACTCCTATACACGACAAATACTTCACCAAACTTTGTAAGAGTTGGTACCTATATCTACATCACACAAGCAGGATATTCCTGAGGTGAGTCTGGTTTTATAAAAGCCAAAGTCCCACGTCTTTTCCAGTGATTAGCACTGCCTTCAGAGCACCAAGGGCCATGCATACATTAACTCATAGAAATTCAGGAAAACTATTTTTTAACTTAACAATGGTCCACGATAAAGGTCAAATCCAGAAAAAGACTTTGAAACTAGAAATACTGTGTGATTTTTATATAGCATATATATTAGTAAGGGTAAATAAGGCACTGCTAACGTGTCTGACTCATTTCTATGCCTCTCTATTTCCATCACAATTTCTAATTTATTTGATATAACTATATGCTGATAACATCATTGGGGACATCAAACAGTCCCTGACTTACTGCATCAGCTATTTAATACAGGGATGACTCAACCAAGGTATTAGTTAGTTAGATGACTAGTAATTAAGGAATATCCAGGAATACAAGACCAAACTTATCCAATTTCCACTATCTTCACATTCCCAGGTGTCAAAAAGGATTAAAGATTGCATTCCACCAGTTAAAAACTTAATTTTTTAGGACTTTAATTCTTATCTTACTGTTGGATCTTAAAATTTTCCTTATATATTTGTATCCTTTATTATGAAGCAAGATACTCTTCACACTATTCCTGTGAGATTTAGTCTTTATCAAAATTATTTTAGCATTTTTCATAAATAATGATATCTCATCCAAAATTCATCCTTAATATCAGTGCCAAAAATTACCTTAATTAACATACAGTAATCAGTATTTTCCACCTAACTCTCATTCAGCTCCAGGGAGATGCGATTCCACCTTCTGAATATTAGGAAAACACTGCCTTTTATAATTTCCAGGTCAAAATGACACACCTAAAGTTAAAGAATTTCCTCTCTGACTCCTCGCCTCTTCCCTCACCCCTGTGACTCCTGGACTTTCCTTATGGATCTACAACTTCAAATGTCTAATTAACAACAGGCTGACTCCTTCAATTCACCTTATGCTTCATTTTCCTGAGCAATCACGGCAGGATGTCTTAGCAAGTAAATTATCTGCAGCTTCCTGCATATGTTCACTACTCAGTAGTTCCTCCTACCAGTGTTTATATGTTTATGTTTGATATTAAGGTTAGTTGAGTGGTTGTTCAAGAGATTAGCTGATTAAAACTCCAAATATCAATTTCTCAAAGTCTGCTGACTAATGGCCAAAGCAGGATTTCTGTGCACAGCCACTCAGAGGCAGAATG